AAGTGGAGAAGGTAATTTATAACAGCAGCCTGACAGCCCCTAACTCCAACTAACAACTACAATTATTATTCATCATAAAAATACCTGGTGGTTAAAAAGGTGGCTGCAAACCCCCGTCTCTGGCAGGTCCGCTCCACTCCTCATGCCCTGAACCAAATTGGCTTCATCTTGCAGACTGTTTTTGAACTTTTATGCATTCCACTTGCAAAGGCATCATGAAATTCTGATCTGTGCTCACCTGATGTGACTACAGAGTCCTTTTCTTGAATAGCCCACTACAGGTACACTACACTGCCTTTCCTTTCTACAAACAACTGGCCAAGTAACACCATTTAGAGGCTCGTGTGTTTTAGGGTCCCACCTTTACACACTATAGAGACACAATTTATGCCAACCTAATGGCAACATGGAGTGTAAGCCTAATAAGATGTATATAAAATTAATATTTCTGAAGATACAGGATTTATAAAATAATGTGACAACCATCAAAATGTTATGAAATGTTATGAAAGTTTCAAGGTAACTTCCATAGATGCACCTTGGTTTATCATCTTCTTTACAAAATGGGAAGGAAATATAACAAGAACATAAATTTTTCATCTGTTGTCATAAATTTGTTTTTATTTAAGAGCAACTGCAGTAACTCTGAAGAGCACAATGTAAGTTCCAGCTTAGGAAACCATCACTGCCGAAAGTCACAGTGGAAGGAAACATGAATTCTCAGGACGGGCTTTCCCCACCAAGGTGCAACAGCCACTCCAGGCCCGGCCTCATCAGCGGCCAGGGTCAGGGCAGAGTCCCACAGAACATGTCCTCCAGGACTCTTCCGCAGAACACAGGTAGGAGGAAAGAGAGCACCCCTGTAACTCCAGAGCACCAGGCTGCCGGGGGGACACGGAGCTCCTGAGGAGCTGAGCAGCAGCCTGAGCTCCCGAGGGCACGGAAGAGCTTTGGCGCTGCTGCCGTGCTCCAGCAGCGATTGCCCAAGAAATGACTTGGTGTAAGAACACACTAAGAGCACCTGAAAGGACCCGCGTCACAGCACACCTGGATTTGAGACAAGGGGATCCAACAGCTCAGTCTCCTCACGCTCCGATCCCTTTCTGCCCGTTCTCCTGCTACCCCAGAGGGGTGGCTGGCGGGGGGGCTGCGTGCCACTGCTGGCTCTGGCCAGACCCAGGGCGCGCTCTGGCTCACTGTGTGGGACGCGGCGGTGTGGAGGGCTTCATCCTCAAAAAAAACTCCACGCAAAGGCAGCCCGCCTGACACTACCCTGCCCATTAGCAGTGCAAGTAATTTACACGTCCCTATTTGGGTTTATATATTTGGGGCATCTGTTTAGTTTTTATTACTCCTGGCCTTGGCTTCCACGCTCCTTCACAGATCAAATAACTGCTTTCCCTATTTGCTAATTCCAACAGCTGGTTATTACTCACCAGGCTCCAGCTATACTCGCCTGGGGAAGAATCATAAATAAATGTGTACAAGCAAGCAGATGTTATCATTTTAAAAACTGATCCACCTAGTAAAAATGTCCTACTTAGGACTCAAGCGGTGAATCACTGAGCATGTGTCTTGATGTCATTTTAATAAAATCCAAAATCAATCGCAGGTCTTTGTTCATTAATTCAAATTAGTAAATGAGGGAAGTGTTATAAAAGAGAATATGACTACAAATAAATAATTAAAATTCTGAACAGGTCAAACACTGCTCTTTCCAATGAAGACAAAGGCAAGATAAGATAGAGAGTTTTGGTGGGCTTTTTTAATGTATTTGATGTAACTAATCACTTTTCCACCAGTGGCAGACAAGGTAACATCATGTAACCGCAGGTCCTGGAATCTATGACTGTAAACTGAAGAGAGAAATACAGATGGTTTATCAGACTTTATTATCTCTCTTAATGGTGTGCCTGTTTATTTGGGGTTTTTTAAATAGGTAATTTCTTTCTGAATGTCAGTGCTAGGAGAAAGTGAGCTGCCTGGAGCATATTTTAAAAAGACACAGAATGTATAAGAGAACAAAAAGTGCTTTACAGACCATACACAGGAAGCAGCAGGGAAAAAATCTTGGTACCAACTTTCCCTCCATGTTTTAAAGGGGACATCGTCCTGCAAGGTTAGGCAATTTGCCTTCTGCAACCTTTAAAAAATTTACTTCTCATGAAAACAGCACAAGTTTCAGTGATTGTGGTGTAATCCCCAGAGAAAGAGAACTCTTTCACATCAATTTACACAGGTTACACAGATGACAATAATCTTTGTTCATTGGCACCAGGAACTAAATTATCTCTTGTTGACTTAAAATGGAAATGTCTAGCACTGAAGCCATCCACTTCTTCAGTCAGACAGCTCACAGAAAACCTATCTGCATTACTTTACAGACATTTCAAAGCTGGTACGCGTGTACTGCAAGGTTAATGACCCTGATAGCAAAACTTCCCAATTCAGCTTTTGCAAATCTGTTGGGTTTTTTTTCCAATAAAGACAATTTCATCTAAATTGCTAAGATGCAGTATGACATTACGGGCTCCCAGACTAAAGACCAAGCACACTACAAGACAACTTAATACACACCTGAAAACATGTCTTCATTATCTTAGCAGATATGCAGCTCAGCCCATATTGACACTACATCAGCATTCAAACCGCTGTACCAAAATATGAGTGACTAGAAAGAACTGTCTTCCAGTGCATGCTCAGAGAGAAACACTGAACCTCCCTGATACTCAAAACCTAAAATCTACTCCCAACTGGTTCAGCATCTACAGTAAAACTGATAAAATTCATCATGGTCTTAATGCCCCACCACTGTGCCAGAGATTACATGTTTAGAACTTGGTGTTATTTAAAATACCAGAAAGAAAATCCAAATCTTCAAAACTTAATTTGTGAAAGTATTCCTAATATTTAAACTAGGAAAACTACAATTTGGTGATAATTGTATTAACCAACATAAAGGAGAATAAAAGTTAATATAAATGACAATAAAAATGGGACAGTCCATAAGCACAAGACTCGCAACACTTGCAGGCATCATAAATTACAAATATTGAGCACAAGGTCTAACAAGAATTTTTCCTTGCCAGATAAATACTTTCTCCTATAGCAGCATATATTAACATTTAGCAATCAAGGAGGAGAAAATTCTAAATGAAGGTGCTAAAATCACACAGTCACAGGGCGAATTTAAGATGCCAAGAGAAAGGCAGTCAGAAGACAGAGGATAGATCGGGCAGCATGATAAGCCAGTGCAGCAAGTCTGAAGTGTGACAGAGGAGGAGGGAACCATTCAAACAACACAGCTGGGGAACGGGATAGAGGAGCGTCACAAGCAGCAGCAGCAGCCACGAGAGGACTCAAATCAACTCTCTTTTTTCAAAAGCACCAGTGACTGAGCACGGGACAAAGGAGAATGAGTGCTCTCTCAGTATGAAAGGTGATGATTTTAACTTTTTCTGTAAGATTTTGCATCAAGTCTGAAGATTTCAACCCCAGACATGCAACACTTTCTCATGAGTTACAAATTCCTCATTTCTTGTTATGTTGCTTTAGATTTGGTTCCTGACATTAAGATATTCCTCAGAGTTGGTGAATTTTAAGAAAAATAATATTTTGTTTGCAGCCAAGTACTGAGAACACACTCAGAACATGTTATCAGAGCAAGCTGGGGCTGAAAGATGCCATGCAGAGTGTTAGAAGATTAAGGTGCATATTCCATACGCATTAAGTGTGCAGCATCATCCACCAGCAGGACCTTGCCTCAGAGCAGCGTTCATCCCAGACGCTTCTGGGCCCCTCTCAGGCTACTCAGACTGGCATCTCAAGTCTCAGACAGCTTTTCTTTGTAATACTTAAGACTAACATTGACTAGAGTAACTCCTGTCTTCCGGGAGTCATCTGCGTGTTAATAGCTGTCCCGCTCCTGGAACAGAGACATTTCCAAAGTGGAAACAGCACTCTTTTTCATCCCACCACTAGATGATTAACACATAAGCTACAGCAGAAAGCAAGCTACGCTGGATATATACGTTAACCTTAAACGCAAACAGCTGTGTCAATCACAGAGTTACTAAATTCCAGCAGACTCAGTGGTCTAGAACCCACATGACAGCCACTACGCAGAGTGAGTTTCGGTGATACCGCACTGCTCACGGAGACCTGGGCTAGTGTCAGAGCCTTTAACCTGGCAAAACCCAGGAATGCCACCGACAGGAAGGGCTCTACTTCCTCCACCCGCCTAAACCCCTGTCGGCCCCCTCTTCACATCTGTGAAAGCACAGAGTGACTTGATGAACCAGGTGATGAGACTGAGCTGCGCTAAAACTAACCTGAGGAAGTAAGTATTTTTTAATCTAGAAGAGGTTTCCATTCCGGTTCGTTATGCGGTTGCACGAAGACCTGTAGCAGCCCAAGGGCACAAACACAAGAAAGACCCCCCAGCGGCGGCCCGCGGCAGCCGGGAACCGCGCAGCTCGGAAAACGAGCTCTGAGAATCGCCGACGAGAGCAGCGACCAGCGCAGCCCAGGCATCAAACCACGGAGCATCGCGCGGCAGAGGCTGCGCCACGCCGGGGGGCTCTGCCGGTGTATCGCGCAGCTGGAAACCAGAGACACGCACATACTGCTGCCTGTTCAGGGAGTTGCTCACAGCTCGGGTGGGTCTGTGTTGGACACAGATCAGGGATTTTTAAGTCTCGGAACTTGGTGATAATTACTGCAGTGGCAGATGAACTTCAGAGACGTGGGAGTGAGCACAACTGGCTTTTCCATTCACAAGCGTAAGCACTGATGTTTGTTCAGGGTTGTGAGTGTTGAGCTTCAGACACCCCCATTCAGGAGTGAGTAGTATCATTGTGCTGCTTGTGTAATGGAAGCAACAAAGCCAACGTTTCCCATACTGAGAATCAAATATTTGTGGGATAAAGCTCATGATTCCTTAGAAAAGGGAAAAAACCCACTTGCGCTTACTTTAAGCAGTTGCTTTCATTCCACAGCCAACAGTAAAATCAACATTGACTGAACACACTTGTTATTTCAGAGGGGCTTTATTCTTTTTTGAGGGAAGGTACTCCACTGCTTAACTTCAGACACTTAAAAAGATTACCTACTTCATGTAGTTAATATAATTGTCAGTGGAGGGGTGTATATCACCTGTCAGAGTCATTCCTCTGACTTAAGCCGGAATGGATATTACTGGCACCTGTGTACAGAGTTTGTCATGACAGGGCATTGACCTGCTGTTAATGATAAAAAGATACAACATTTTATTTAGCAAACATGGCAGCAGGCAGCAAAAAGATTAGCCGTCCCTAGATAAGAGAGAATAACACCATAAATCTCCTTAAGTCTTAAGGAAACAATAGTCAACTGAGGTAAACAAGGTTTTAAACCCAACCAAAACAGGCATTTGTAGCATAATACACACAGAGACTCGACTACTTGTTTCCTTGCTGCTCGCATCCTTTATCTGCTGCCTTTTGTCTCTGGTTGGGTGGCTTTAGAGAGAGGAAACTCATGGCAGTAGAGTTTTATTACTCTTAACAGATCAACTTTGACTGATTGCCTTATATTCAGACCTAGTAAGAAGAGCAGTATAAACGGGTAATGGAACTTTCTTTATTTCAGTGTGGACTATTTTTATCAAGTCGCAGGGTGCCGCACAGTCCCCGTGGAATTGGGTACCCGATACACAGATGAGGAATGGTCCCAGAAGCTCATGACTGTTGGTGACTTCATCGACCAGTATATTGTGAATGAGGTCTGTTACTCTTAATTTTTTTCGTCTCCAAATAAGCGGTGTGTTACTGGTACAGAATTTCTGCTTGGAACAAACATGCTTAGAGGTGATGTCAAGGAAGGGGGTATGCTGTAAGCACAACTCTGAATTAAAAGGGCTGACATTTTGAGACTACAAATAGTCTTCGCAACAATAGCTAGGTTTGATTTTTGTGTATAATCAAATGCCCAGCAGCTGAAATTTGGTGAATAGATGGATACCTTCTGCAGCAAAAGCCTGAATGGTGGAGTCTAAGGACACGGGATCCTCGGCCAGCAGTTTTGTTTCTCTTGGTTATTAAACTGTTTAGTGAGATCTTGGATCAAGATCCAAATTCATGTGCCACCAGGCAAAAAACCAAAGAGTTGATTAGCAACTGAAGGTCTGTGTGCTTTCAGAGCTGAGGATCTGAAGCCCTCATTTCTCTTTACTAGCTGCCTGGCAGGAGGGACCACGTGCTGCTGAGGTGGGTCTGTGGGGCAGAGGGGGGGGCTCGAGTCAGGGTGAGATGAGCTGTCATGGGGATTGACAACACAACTGTTGAGACACCGCAGGATTGTGGCTGGGCTTCTCCCAGGAGCTCCAGCTGGACAATTTGTTGATTGTGGGGGTATATCCATGCTCTTACAGTTTCAGTGTAGCCGTAAGTTACTGTTTCAGAAGACTGTTACACTAGTCAGCTGTTGAAACAGTTCTAGTACTCTGAAATAGAACGTTGGGAATGGATGTTACTTGTAAGTAAATGAACTGACTGAGAAGTCTTACCCTGTGTGTCTCTATACATTTTTTTCTTTCTCTGCTGTAATTTCAGAACGGTGTAGGATACCTTGCCCAGCACCAGCTTTTTGATCAGGTAAAACTGAAGGAGTGTTTTTATCTTTCTGCAGTCAAGTGTTCCCTCTGTAGCACAGGTCATCTCTGAGGATGTCAACTCTAATAGAGGGAAGGGCATACAGAGCATTCACAGGATTTCTTAAGTTTCTGTTCCCACAATTTGAAGGAGCAGAGGGATGAGTTTGTTCCATTTGGCTGAAAGGTGTGGAAACAAAACCCTTTCAGAGGTGAAGACATTCAGTCTTAGTGCTGTTTCAGTACGATGTATCATGTACTGTCAGGGATGTCTCCTGGACAGCAGTATTTCTCCCAAGAACATGTAAGTTAGGGAAGAGATTTGCACAGGAAACAGCCTTCAGTGGTGATATTGTTCATGGTAATCTGAAACGTCTTTTCAGTTAACCAGAGATTAGGTTGGTGGGAGATGCAAAAAGGAATCTCAGAGAAGCAAGTTGAGTGTGTAAAAGATCAGCTGCTCCTTTTCCATGAACAGCAAACCTACTTATTCTTGTGGGTTCCTCTGGTTTCTGCTAAAGCAAAGGGTCCCTGAAGAATGAGAAACCCATTTCTTTCTCCCACCTCTCCTTCCAAAAGAACCTGTTTGCCAAGACAGAAAGTGTGAGGACATTTCCTGCAGATTCCTAGAGTGCAGCTACCTCTCTCCTGCCTGTGCTAGACAAGCAGGTCATTTGTTTCCTTTGTGTCAAGCCTTGTTCCTCTGTTCTATGAATTACATACTTCGTCAAGTCAGCACATGCCCTTTTTAATGTTTATTTCTTTATGGGAGTAGATCCCAGAATTGAAAGAGGATATCAGTATCCCTGACTACTGCTGCCTGGGGGAAGGGGAGGAAGATCACATCACCATTAACGCTTGGTTTGGTCCAGAAGGCACTATCTCACCTCTTCATCAGGATCCCCAGCAAAATTTTTTAGCCCAGGTTTGTACTTTAATTATCTACACGTGCCATTAACGCTATAGGTAGAAAAATTGCTTACAGCGAGTAAGTGCTAGAGACAAGGTTAGTGGACAACTTGTTGAACGACTGACAGATAGAGAATATGCAGATGCTGTTGTGCTGTTCTTTTGCATTTGTCACTACTGCAACGTAATACTCAGTGTAATCTTAGAGGCCACGAGAGCTCCTCGCTGAGGTGGCCCATTACTTTTACAGGGCAGGGGTACATGGAGACTCATCCAGCCTTTGGGGAGCGTCCATGTGCTGCCCTCGGGGCAGCAGGCTCTGAGCATCGGGCATCACAGCTTGGGGATGGATCTCAGGGCAGGGGGTTGTTGAGCAGAGAGGAAAAGCAGCTGGGTTAGGACTGGTTTGGTAGCGTGATGCCCCCCAGCGTGCTGTGGTTAGAGTACAGACTTACCGTTAACGTGACAGTGCCAAACAAAGAGGATCATGCCAGGCCCTTGGCCACGTCCCGGGTCCCGGCAGAAGCAGTGCGAACGTCGCCTCGGTGGGTGTCCCGCTAGCACAGGGGTGGCTCTGGCCCTTGTTCCTCCCCACACCTCGGTGTAGCTCAGTGCAGCCCGAATTCCCGTCGTCCTGTGAAGTGCTGCAGTGAGAGAACTGTTGTGATGACGGCGCAGAAAGAAGAGCCAGAGGAGCACGGGGCAGCTCAGCAGTCGCTGTGTGTGGGTACTTCTGCTGCTGGCTCGCTGAGCTGCACTGAGGGCCCACCCTCCTTATCCCCAGTTCTAATCACTTTCTAGCGACGTAGAGCCCAAATAACATTGATTAATTGGGTACCTTAAACCTTGAATTCAGTGTCATTTGGCTAAAGGCATTTTCTGTATTTCAAATTCTTATCTGCTCCAAGGGAGCAGGTACTTGAATTGCAGTAGTTTGATTTAGCTTTTTATATAGCAGTGTCTGTTTATTACTAACAAAGATAACAACGTTACTTGCAGTATGGTTCGTTTTACTGTGAAATGCCAGCTGTGGCCCAGAGTTTCCAGTAATGTGTGGGTTAATGGCAGATGGATGATATCTACTGTCTCATATACAGGTGTTTGGAAGAAAGTATATCCGTCTCTATTCACCACAAGATTCAGAAAACCTGTACCCCCATGAAAGCCAAATTCTTCACAACACTAGTCAGGTAAATAGTTGCCTGAAATTTTAATATCAGTAATGTAACTTTATCAAATCATGTTTGATCAAAGACATTCTACTGATGATTGTTTTGGTTTTTTACAGGTTGATGTGGAAAACCCTGACTTTGACAAGTTTCCCAATTTCCAGAAGGCAGCATTTCAGTCCTGTATTCTGATGCCTGGGCAGGTTCTGTATATTCCAGTTAAATACTGGCACTATGTACAGTCTCTCGATATCAGCTTCTCTGTCAGCTTCTGGTGGTCATAGGTCTGAAGAATGCTTGGACTTAGCACTGTAGTAGGAATTAACAGGCAGAAAAAGGAGCATCTGGCATCTTCTCACAGAATTCTTTTTAAGCATGAGAATGTTCTTCCCTGTCCAGAGGTCAGAAGTGGATTAAAACCAAAAAAACCCCAATGACCTCTCACTTCAGCATGGTGGAGGAAGCTGGCTGGGTAAGTGGAAAGAAGATGCTGCAGCCACTTTACTTCTGTGGGTGTGTGATAGGAGTGCCTCCTGCAGAGCCTCTGTTGGGCCATCGCCCCGTATGTGCCTCTGAGCAGCTCTACATGTGGGCACTGCCAGGACTCTGCTCCCCAACGCACTGAACAGCAGGTCAGGGTTATCTGCTTGGGCTTGGGAACAGTAAAAACTGGACTTAGATGAACAGGGAGGGGTGGTGCTGCCCTAAGCTTCATTAAGTTTAAAAAAAATTAATGTGAAAAAAAAGATACCAGTTAACACCAGGGAAAAGTTACTGGTGTTAAGGCCTAGGAACATAATTGGAGTTAATCCATAGTTTAATTGCAGTTAAATAAACTGAAGCTTAATCATCCTTTGATTAACCATCACCTGAACTGCTGCCTCTGCCTCCTGCAGTGTCACACGTTTCTACCAAGGAAAAGATACACTGCCCTGTCTTTTGCCCTGGCAAGAGCTAGTCCTCTCCAGGTCACTCCTAAGGGGAAAAGCATCCTTACATAAAACTGGAGTGAAGTGCTAGTACTACTTCCAGACATAAGCTGGCATTGCCCCTTCCCAGTTAAGCTGAGAGAATTCTTATTCTTCCCAGTCAAACATTTGCATCCTTCACTGCCAAACATGCAGCAAGTCCCAACCCAAGAATATGGAGAACTGCAATAACAGAACAGCCTCCCAGAAAGCTTTGCAGGCGTAACTCTGAAGGAGAGCAGGTCGGTCAATGATAGTTTTATTATAAGATTCATAAAACTTCAGGAAAAAAGAACTACATTGAATAACACACTGTTACTGAATGAGTACAGTCTGGCTATTCTGCAAGAGTGGGGAACACGGATGTCGGTGGAAGCAGGTTTCCCTGTCCTCAGCGAGCGCTGAGAGTAAAGCTCTTCTCTGCTCTCCACGTTCCGGATGGTGACTGGGAGTCTCTCAGACACGCACCTGGAAAGAAAACAAAAGGAAGGTTAACAAAAAACACAAAAAAAGGATTATATTGTATAACCTCTATATTTTAAAAATGTTTCCTGTTCAGAATGTCCAATTTCCTTGGCTAAATAGAGGAATTCCAAGCAGATTGTGCTCTTAGAAGCTCGGTGTTTCTGGGAGTTTCAGTGTCATGTTGTGTCTGTCCCCCCCAGCCTCGGCCCGCGCAGGACCCACCGGTGACCGTGGGGCTTCCTCCCAGCACGGCAGCACTCGCCCACGTCTGGTACTGCCTGAAACGCAACTGGGGTCAGCAATAACTGACACAGCTACAGTTACAAATAATACAGGCAGTGCCAGTGAGTGTCAGTCCATTCTCTAGTATTATCACACTCGACTTTTGTTAAAATAGCTTGCTCAGTACCTGGAATGTCACAGGACCAGGTGGTGTTACACTGTGGACAGCGTGGTTCAGTCTGAGCTTTAAAGTACTTTCTGACACATGGTAAATGCATTCCAGTTCCACAGGATTCACATACTTGGCTCTGAAATCAGAAGTGTTGATTAAAAAAAGATCTTTCTAACCTGTCCTTCAGTTTAATACAAAGTTGTTTCAAAAGGCAGCAAACACGCAGTGCCTACTCCAGAGAACGCTTCACATGGTAGTTGGCAGATACTTGAAAGTCAAGGCTGGTAAGTGATGGAAGGAGATATTTTCCTGGAGACTAGGAAATACTATTTCCCTATATGGACAGAATTTAGCTTGAAAAACGATGAGCTATTTGGGTGCAATAAAGGAGACCAACTAGGATGGAAAAAGTGGCATGGAAGCACGTTAGATGGGAGTACAAGAAGGTGCAGGGTCAAGGAGCAAGAGGATGCTGTGGCTGCAGAACAGGAGTTCAGGCTGTAACAACCTAGGCAAGGCTAAACTGGTAACGTGGAGCTGTCGCAGTACAGTGCTGTAGGTGCTCTCCACAAGCATACGTGGTCATTCTGGAGACCCAGGCACGAGTAATTCCTGAACCAGACTCCCAGGGCCAAAGATGAGTGTGTCACATGAGGACTGCTGGCTTTAAGGTCCAAAGACAAGACAGCGAACACTTGACTGTTGGCCTGTTCAAGGGTAAGGTATCTGCCTCTAGCCTGCTGGCTTTGGAAAGCAAGATGGCACAGTAATGTTCCTCACGGGGTGAGCTCACTGTCTCCCAGTTTATACTGGGGGATATACCACTCCAAGTTTTTTTTCTAAAGACAAGATAAAATACCTACGCTGAAAAAAAAAAAAAAAAAAATGAGCACCATTTCCAAATTACAAGAGCAGAATTTTCCAGTGCCTGCCTAGTCCTTGGGCAGGTATCAGACACTTCAGCTGTGACCATGGAAGCACTCGAGGAGGTGCTGCTGTGGTAAAACCGACGTTACCTGCACAGCCAGGGTGTGACAGATGTTGCACTTCCTCGCCGTGTCTGGATAGTTGGTGAGAATGTACTGTTCCATCTCCATTATGCAGCGAGTATGCAGAGTATATTCTCCATTTCTCTAGGAAAACAAGTGGTGAAATGAATGTATTTTAATTCCTTTTACCTGTTTTGACTTTCTAACCACCTGCTCACGAGCATTTGACATCCACCTCTTTCTGCCATTGTGAAGCTAACATGCTGACACCGATATAATGCAAAGCTAAAATACTGCTGAAGTAGCATGGTTTGTTTAGAGGATCAGAATTAAGATCTGACACATTTAACAGATCTAGTCTGTGGAAGGTTCAGATGAGCAAGCATGCTCTCCTTAACAGAGACGTGCAGTCTAAGGACCCTCCATTTGCACATTAGTGGAAATTCTGCTGGCTTTCAGCAAATCTAAGCATTTACTGCTTGAGATATCTTTGAAAGTCTCTGCTAAATCACCCTAACATCAGTAAATGTGTGGCAGCAGGTTTCAATCTGTGATGCAAAGAATCCAGGAGAGGGACTGAGCTCTCACTTGCCTTGGCAAGCACCCACAGTGTCCACACGGTCACTGATCTCACTTCCTCCCTTGTGAAGTAAAAGAGATTTTAAAACGTGCACAACGGCACCTTCTGGTACAGGAATTTTCAACATGTTTGGCCTTGCTGCTTTTCAGCATGTTCTAAATGTAACTGCCAGCACCCACTGCCCTGGGAGCTCCCCCAACTCTTGTCCAGGTCACACAGGTACGAAAAGCTGAGCCGCCTTGTCCCGAACAGACCTACCCAGGGGCCGCTTCCTTGTAAAAGCATTACCCTTCTCTGGAAAAAAACACTGGAGCGGCAATAAGCACAGTCCCACAAAACCGTTTCTGCCATCATTAAAGAACAGCTCCGAACCATCACATCCATAAAGAAGAAAATAGCTGGAACTATGGAAATACAAACACTGGAAAAAATATAGCAGTTACCTCAGAAAGCCACTTATTCTCCACAAAAACTTTCAGCATTTGTTCTGCTTCCTTTTTCTTCATTTTCTTTGTCTTAAGTTGGTCAGCCAAGTTTAAAATATCTGTAGAAGAGGCAAAGCCATTTTCTGATAACATGATTAGGTCCATCTATGGAAAGAAACATTTTCAACTATTAACAAAACCCATGCAGTCAAACACACCTTACAGTAATGTGCAGCTTTTTTAGCATCCACACATGAGAGACACCACAGTATATGGTTTGAGACAGAACTGTAAAACAGAGGCCAAAAGCTGAAACAGTTGCTGTTGACAGTTTTAATCGTCGTCAAGAAAACTTTTTCCACAAACAGAACTGTACAGCACTATCTACGTGAAGCTGCATTCAGGGACCCTGGACCGTACACAGGGGTGAGTTTTATCTGCTCTTTGTCAAAGTTTTTCTGAGGAAAAATTTCTCACTACTAAAGTTTGTCCACTCTGGAGTAGTTAGTACAGCTGAACTACCTGGCGCTTGAAGGTTGTAGCAGCATTACCAGTCTTCAGAGAATCTCTGACTGGGAGCGTTCCTGCTGCTCATTATCCCAGAGCAGGGTGCTGGTTTCATGCCAGTAGTTAATGAGTGCCACAACAGGGCCAGCGCCACGCTGCCAAGGCAGCTGTAAAGGTGCTTCACGAGTAACGGGGGAGGGCAGGGAAATCCTGGGTGCTATCCACGTAGATTAGACTTTTGCAGCTGTCACAGAATAGTCAGTACACCTCTCTTCCCAGTTTATACAGAAAATTTTATTTGAATGAGTGAAAAAAAAAAATCTTAGAAGTCTAGTGGCTGGAGAAGTAAAGTCCTCAAAGTTCAAGACACTATGAGAACAGTTCACTCAAACACAAGATACACAGCTCTGATCACAACTCACATTATTGGTTGTTGATGAGAAATTAGACACTGAATGTCCTGGAATCTCAGCCCAATAGTTCTGTTTGGAACTTTAAAAAATTCTCAGTGTTTTTTCTTGTTCAGAAAGCAGAATTCTGACTATTAGACACAGAATTAATTGGCTAAGCAATGACAATAGACAAAGGTTTCTATTCAAATCAGGAAATCTGACTTGTGTGTTATTAGCATTAAAATCTAATGTGTGGACTACTGAAGCCAGTGAAAAACCCAACAATCACAACTGAAAATCCTGAAGAAATGTGTTTGACAAAAAGCAGATCTGTCAGGTCACTGACTCCAAGGAGCACCCCCGTGGCTGATTTCAGGGGACTGTTGACAGGGATTCACTCGTTACCTGCACATACTCCCATCCCTGCCCCCCAGTGTGATCTGGGATAAACTGAGGTGAGGCAGTAACTGGTTCCTGAACCACATCTCCATTCGTTTCCTTCTCCAGTCATTTTAAGATGGTACCTTCACAAATAATGTGATTCAGTAACTAATAACTGACATACTTACTGTTTTTTTGAACAATTCTAATTCATTTTCTGCATAGTCAGATGCCAGTTTAGTTATTTCAGTTTCTGCCAAATTCACCTACAAAAAAAACCCCAAACTTAAACTGAAATTAAAGTGCCTTTATATTTCTACACCATAAATTGTAAAAGATCCTCTGGCATAACAAATACATCATCTTACAATTAACAGAAACATCATTTCTTTTAAGGGGTGAAAGAGGCTGTTCTTACAGATGGCCCCTGGGTCCGGCCTTCCAGCCACGTGCCCTCCACAGCAGCCTCTGCCCAGCCCAAGCTCTTCAACCACCCAACCTCCGCGTGACAGAACGAATACAGGAAAGTTCTGTAGAGCAGAACTAATACATTGCACCAGGAGACTGCTGGACAGCAGCAGTGACTGTGGTAACATGCACATTTTTGTTTCAGTGTGAGAAATAATTAGACATTTCATATTCTTATTGCACATGCTACTGCTACTTATTAATAGCTCAACTTAACTGGCAGAATGGCCCAGAAAGGTTAAAAGCAGCAGCTCATGTTCGAATACCTCCTGTATGGTCTTTTGAAATTACTGTATAACCGTCCCTCTCCGACATGCACACTGCAGAGCACCTAGGAAAGCTTTTCATAGGCCATTCCTTGGCAACCTTTATGCTAGGTTGATTTTTGAGTAAGAGGAAAAGAAAACCAATGTTGGAGGGCTCTCCATGGTTTAAAAAGTCATCTTGGGGAAAAAAAAGTATCCTGTGAAAAAGAAATCCCACTTCAGCACTGAAGCAACATCTCTGCTAGATCACCGAGCTGGTGCTGCAGCCCTCGCTGCCGCGCTCCCTCCCTGCTCACCCAGGGCGTCGCCTCCCTGTTCCCCAGCAGCTGCCCGCGGGACCAGGCACATCCTCACCAGGGCGTAGTGTGCTCTGCCGTCCCCCTCCGACATGCCTTTCCGGATCTGCATAAACAACGGCTGGAGATGGCTGTTAATAGTGGTGATGAAATGATCCAGTTTATCATGTGCGTAGTAGACTGAAAATAAATAAGAAAAAGCCCACCAGACAGATCTTTTTATGGTTTATCTGCTCAAACATTTTTTTCCTAGGTAAAAGCTAAAAGTTAGTGGGGCAGAATTCAAACAGGCCTGTTACACTCAGCAGACGTATCGTTTTCTTGTGCTGCTGACTGCCAAGGCTTCAGAGCAGCTCAGGTCCTTGACAGAGGTCAGAGGGAGAGTCCGGACATCCTGCCACGCTCTTTGGAACCCACCACTTCATCCATTAATTACAGTGAAATGAACTAAGCTGAACAGAAAATAAAACATGGCCAGGAAAATTACTGTACGCAACCCAAAAATATACTTGCTTTCTTTCATTTACACACTAGGGATTCCTTGTTTCTGTTTCACAAATTAATGGCATGTAAGTGATCAAGTTATGTACCAGAAAGCTTAAAATTCTACTGTTGTAGAAATACGGGTAGTATCTCATGTCATGTCCTACAAACAAACTGACTATGAGCACAAGTCCTGTCCTGGCAGTAATGCAGATGGACTCCAAGCACTCTGTAGAAGCACGTGCTGTGGCTTTTGCCTGCAGCAGCACCAGCGCCAGCCCACAAGCGCTCCCACCCACAACACCGTGTCAGTGCCAACTCCTGCTGACTTCAGCAGGCTGGGGTTTAAAAAACAGAGTTAACAGAAGAATGATGATGTCTCAAAAATACTACTAGTTATCACTAACTTCACACTGTTCTCAGTTATAAGAGTCAACCACTTGTGTTACAGCACCAGACAAAGGTCACTCCCAAAACCCCACTAGGTAGTGTAGTGCAACGCAAAAACATCCGTCAGAGGATGCTCCTGCCCAGAAAATTCATGATTCTGATCTGTCAGACTCTTTAAGCGAAGAAAACCAACACAGAGCAAGAACAATAATCATATTAAAGCAAGTGTAGTTTTGTCAAATCATCATGTCACCTGCCTGGTGCCTGTCAGCTGCTTCTTGTAGCATACTGCAACACAACCTAGAGCAAAACCCATCAGCCCACAGAGGAGCTCAGGGAGGGAAAATACTGTTAAATGGTGCGGATGGATTCTCACCCATGAACTCCAGTAAGGACTCGCAGCCACGAATTCAGTTTTACAGTGTGACCACCAAGCCACCGAGTGATGACTAACACCTACACTGCCACAACACTGGTCCAGTACAACTTGAGACAGGCACACCCAGTCTTTTTTTCAGTCTTAACCCAGGAAGTATTGAATTTTGACACAAGGGACATAGTTTTTGTTACCAAAACATCCAAATGAGTAATTGATAAGCTTCTCTCCATTTTATCTCCTTCAATCCATCTACAAGGCATCTGATATGCAGCAAAAAATATTTAGCAGAAAATACAACCTGCATTACATGGGACACAACAGATTACTTGGTTCTGACCTTAAATTCTATGGGTAAGTAGATACAAGTGCTGAGTAAAACCAGAAGAGTCCCTGTAGCGTGGGCAGTGTGGTGACAAGATACAAGAGCACTACCCAGCCTAGCAAGAGCGTGGCTTCCACAACCAGCGACAGGAGGTGAGATGGGAGAGCACAGCTTTCCACCAGACAACCCCACCTCATCCTCACCAAAACATTTCCCCAGCTTTCGTTCTCCTGCCACACGTAAGCAGCCGCTGCAGTACAGTGAAAGCGTTCGGGGTGGCGCCGCGGAGGGACGACGGGATCCCGCTGCCCGTACCCACACTCACCTCCCCGGTCCCTGCAATATTCTTCATTGTCTACACAAAAATGCCTAGTCCGAGGAGCCAAGAGCCATGTTTTCTTTTTCTAGTTTTGCCATATTTAATGCACTATAAAGCAAAATATCAAAACAACAGTACAGTGGGTTCCTCTGTTGTTTTGCAATGCAAACGCTTCTCTGATAAAACAGATGGTTATCTGCAAAAAAGATAAGAAAAATTCCCCTAAGCCCTAGCTGAACTTTGCAGACAATATAAAAGCATAATGAGCACCCTGGGTCACTCACAGGAGCAGCTGCTGGGGCTTTTCCTAGAATACTAAGTACTAAAAGGCCTGAGAAACATGTAAAGCAAAAATGCCTGTCAATTCTGTGAATCCCTCTTTCTCAAGTATCATTAATTCAGTGGGTCTTTCCACAGGCAAGCACGAAATGTATTATGCTTAAGAAAGTGGTATGGCTGTAGACTAAAGTTGACACTTACAGGTATTTTCTTCCAAGTTCGGCCACCAAGGCAGTTAAATAAAATACAAAACATAGTCAGAAGCCAATCTGATACAATCCCCAATACACTCCTTCTTTATATCCAAACAGGCAGGAAAAAAGTAGTTTTCTCTCATTCTTCCATTTTCCTAAACATCCTTTCATATATGGACTGTATCAGCCATTTTTCTAATGAACTTCACTGTAATTTAACACACAGTTACATTTTATAATTTTATAAATATTACCTAATATCATCCTTCAATAAATACAGCCATTGGTTTGAAAGGCAACCTGATTTTGTCCCTCCAAATTATTCTTAAGTTCATCAAAAATAAAGCAAAATATAATATATCTGTGTTTTCTGTTAACCTTCTGGCCTTGAAGGATGTGGCAAAGAAAACTCTTGTGAATGACCATCCAGTGAAAAAAAATTTAAAAGTTATGCTATTACAGAGAGAAATGTGTTTTCCAGGTGAGAGGGACCATCTTTCCAGCTGTACTGTTCAGAGTAGTGTAAACCCGGAGCTTCAGTTACTGAAGAACTTCAGCTGGCTTGGAGGACAGCAGGAAAAATAACTACAAACTCTCCTATCGTTACTGTTTCCTGATTTCAGGCTGAGGTTAGTGTCAGATAATATTCTGTGCATCCTCCCACAGCCAGTGCCCGGTAAGGGGACCCCACAGGCAGCTTGGACACCGGGCTCCCTGGACTAGGCAGGGGAGGAGTCAGCCTGCCCCCGCGGGGCACACAGCCACCCCGAGAGGGTGCCCAGAGTGCCCGGCGCCCCAGCCCCAAGGCCAGAGCTCTGCCAGGCGGCTCTCAGCGTGCCCTCCGGTCCTGTTGTAACTGGAGAACCCGTAACACAGTGCGGACAGAAACAGCACTCCTCGAGGGATTCCAGGAAAAACGCAGTAGCAGTTATAATAACCTCCGCCACAGGCCTGCAGCCTGCACCCTGACTGGAGCGAGTGCCTTCCCGCAGCCCACGCAGCGCTTCAGCAGACGTCTGGGCCTTCTCCTCCAGAGCAGAGTTTAGCACAGACACTCATCGGCTCCAGGAAGCACACAGGTGACTGATACACAAAAAAATAAGAAGGTGTCTCATGGCCAGAAGGCTCAGGGCTTTGACATACACCAGAACAAGAGAATGTGCTGAACACCAGGAGGGACAGTTTTCAGATCGTTGCTCAGAGGCTGCACAGGCTGGTTACTGTATGAATTCACCTGACACACCTTAGTTATCCTTCTGTATTTAAGGAAACCAACGTCCTAGGTAGGAGACAGCCCTGCTACATAACGCTTACAACCTGCAGGAGAAAAGGAAGGAATTCAAAGCAGCTAGTTTTAGTAACATTAGCTTTGATCTGATTTGAAAATTATTGTTCAGATTGCACTAAACAGTCTTCAGATGTACTTGAAAAAACTGCATCAAAATCAGAACTTCATCTAGAAACAGTCCAGTCAAGCTGAGTTTCCTCATAAAAATGCTCTTACCATGATCTCATAAATTCTGATATCGTTAACTTTGCCCCTAACAAGGATGAGTTTGTCAAATTGCTGGTTCTTTTGTTCATAAAACAAATGTGGGGCCAAGTGTTCCATTCAATGAATCAAGTTCAACACCCTGTTGCCTCCCAACGTGACAAAAAGCTTTCCTAGGTAGAGCATTTGATAAAACAGTGACAGTTCAAACTCCTACACAGTATCTGTAATTTCACAAACTTTTCCATTGCACATCAACTGTCACTACGCAGAAAAAAGATGAAGTTCTTGGTAGGCAGCAGTTGCAATGGAGCCATTTTTTTCTAAATCCTTCTATTAAACAAACCTTCCTAAAGAACAACTGTCAGCTCTTACTGCAGCACAGCTCACTGATCCTGCACACTGACAACACCATCTAGCTGTAAAGCTTTTTTTCTTAAGGTTCTCTGTTCTTAACACACAACAAACTCATTACAGCTGTGCTGCTGGTTTAGGCCACCTCTAGCATTTATTCAAGCAACATTATTTTTCCACATTTCCATATTTTTAGTCAGAAATTTGGACAGGTGCTGAAACAAGCTCTCTTGGCTCGGGAGAGTTTGAAAACTTGTGAAGTCTGTTTGAATTCTAAAGAAAACACGTAGTGAGCACGGTCGCCCGGACGGGACGAGAGGGAGCTCAGCACAGGCCGGGCACACCCATGACTACAGGCTCTGCTCCTGCGGCGAGCACAGCCAGCGGCGGCTGTGCCGGTACCGCCGGGCCCAGCCACCAGCAAGAGCTGTCCCAGCTCTCAGCCTCACAGGTAGCCTGAGCCGACTAAACCTCCCAAAAAACTGCGAAGGCTTTTATTTTTAAAGTCATAAATACTAGAGAACCAGAAAATAACTTGAGACTATTCAGTGCATATTCATCTCAGAATGTGTAATGTAAACAAATGTAAACATCTGCTGGTGTTATCTGCCTCTCAACAGTAATGGCTGAAAGTCACTAATTTCAACAGCGTCTGTGTATTTGCTTTTGAAAGGCACTTCTTGTTCTTACACATTTCCTTTTCATTTTTTTTTCATAAATAAGGAAAAGATGAAATTGAAGAATTTCATTCTTTCACTATCCTCTGGGAACCAGCAACGGACACATCTAATACCTACTGATAATTAGTGCTAAACATGTTACAGCTTTACTTCTGTTTGTGCCCAGCACATTTTCAAAATCAGTGAAGATGCAACAGAGATCTCTGATCTCTAAGCAGATCTCTGAAAAAAATCCTTATCGAGCTGATTACACATTTCTGCACTATTCAAGTTTGAATGTGAACTTCAAACAGATCTGATCGTATACAACCAAATGTGCCATAAAACTCAGCTTGGGATCACATATATTAAAACTAAACATGTAATTGTCAGACATGACAGATTTACTCAAGATGGGTAACACCATACACTTCATACGATATTCCAAAGGAAACCTTTCCAAACAAGTATGAAGGGAAACAATCTAGAAATTTCAGTGTCAAAAACAGATTTTTTAAAAAATATCTAACCTACAAAAAACATCTTTTCTAAAATAAAAAGTGCTCTGTATGAGACTGACCTGATTAAAACTTAAGTTTCCTCACTGCTGTGTTATTTGATTTTTTTAGGAAAGAGAGAGCTCACATCATTAAAGTTTTTTAACTTTTTTTGGATGGTGTATGCTTTTCAGAAATCTACTTATTTGTAAAATGCATCAGGAAAAAAACATGTTTCTTCAATCTCCCAACATACCTTTATGTATTTCACAGCAGCACTTGTGAAGCTTCCTGGCCTCTGATCCTTCCATTATCCCATGAGACATAAGGACCTGCAAGAACCGTCGATGAGCATCTGTCATCTGAGCTGCCATGGCGATACCCCACCGGGCTCCAAACGCTGCAAGAGGTGCAAGCTGGGATTAATGCACATGTTCATGCAGATTAAAAATATACAGTCCAAGCACAGAGAGGATGCCAATTAAACCCTCCAACATTGAATCAGGGGAAAAAAGCAGATCCCCCACGTTGTCCTCAGAATACAGATGGTGAGTGACACCGAGGTTCTAGGAGAAGGATGCAAAACAAAGTCCAACAACTTTTAGCTACAGAATAAAACAATGCAGGTGTTGTGCTGTCTGTGCAAGAGCCAGCAGAAACCTCCCACGGCTTTGTGTAAGGTGCTTCTGCCTACTGCATGTCCTAATAACTTGTCTAATTAGAGCGGAACTGACTTTGGACAGAAAACCCTCCTCTAAAAGTGCTGAAGAACATCAGAGCTAAATAAAAGCATCTCAGGGAATTCCTTGACTGGAGAACAGCCAAATCAGCGTCGGTAGTTCACAGAAAAAAGAAGCTTCCAGACTCCTCCCAGGAAAAGGGCCAAAGGACGGACCAAGCGGAGGACCCGCCGCTGTGCGCCGGGATTTCTGCATCTTGCATTCCCCGGCACACGGACGGTCTCTGAGCAGCCGCGCCGAGCCGCTGACAGCGCCCCGGGGGACCGAAAGCGGGGACGCGGCCTTGCAGACTGATCTGCAGTTGGTCGAACTACGTGACAGTACTGCGTCCCTTCTAGGCCCAAAGGCCGTGGTGTTGTGCCCTTTGCTGACTTCTGTCATCTCAATATGTAAATATGTTGGAATGCGGAAACTTCAGTTTAAGTCATAAATAAAACCTGACCAGTTTCAAGTTTTCTAAAGAGGAGCCACGTGCTCGTTTTGAGAGGCTGTTTTTGTATTTATGAGGAGCCGTTTACTCAGATGTGCCCTGTCCCTCTCCAGAAACACAGATGCCGTTTGAATGTTGCTGTGTAAGATATTAGGGGTAGGCATCCCAAACTGCATGAAGGAATTTGTGGGGTGAGGATGACAACAAAATATTAGTGAAATTACTCATTTTAAAAGAATGAAGAATGTCTTTCTCCCTTAAATCTGTCATTCTGAAATTCCTGCTTTAGTGACTATAGGATGCTGCAGGAAATCCTGTGTGGGTAAGCAATAGCGTGTGTATTGTGCCCTGCAAGACAGAGAATGGGACAGAACCTCCCCACTAAAGAATCTGTAATCCAAGGATCTGGGCATGGAGTGGAGTCTCTGCCTGCCCAGCGCTGTCCGCGGTGGCCTCGGCAGGAGGAGGGAACACGAGCACAGTGGTGTGGGAACGGTTTGCTGTTCCGTTTAGGCAGCACAGAGTGGGAACTATTGAATTTTATCTTTTGGCCCTTCCTTGACCAAAGTTGCCATCCTTAATTACTGGAACTTCTAAATATCTTCCAGTCTCCCCTTCCATCTAAACCTCCTCCCTGATGTACTAGACAGGACTCTCCTCAGTTCCAAATTCCTGTGAAAACCTACTTTGTCAGACACCCACGCTCTCCAGCACATGCCTGCGTTGTGCAGCTGCCTCCAGCAGTCCTGTTGCGTGTCAAAGAACAGGTATTGCCATCTGTTCCTGTAAGTCTGCTATTTTGTGTAGGCGCTTAGGAAAAAAAGAAAAACAAACATTAAAAGCAGCAATAAAAAAGATAGAAATTACTCCCTAACTTCTTTTCAAATTTTTTGATGAAGTTTTGCTTTTCTTTGCTATATGCTGCTTATCTCATTTTAGTCGGCAGTTACAGCCAGTGTTTTAAACCAGAAAGAATAAGACAAGATGTACTTTAATTATAAAAGGGCCAGTTTTAAAATAGGGAGTGGCTCTTTACCTGTGCGATTGCCACAAAGGTAAACTAAGCAGTCTTGAACCGAAATGCCTACCACTGTCTTTGGGCATGAGTTACTCTTTGAGCTTAACAGTTTTGCAAATTATACCTGTAGACTAAATGTTAACCTAATTTATTTAGAAGCACAGACCAGAAGTTCTTATTGTTTCTCTCGATAATAAACAAAATCTTTTCAATCGCTTTTTTTTTTTTTACAAGAGACGGAAATGATGAATGATAAAAGTCAATCACTGGTGCCAGTACTCACGTAGACCCTCTCCTAGCCGCAATAGAGGTTTCTTCCGTAGCTTTGTCAGTCACTTATGTCCTTTGCACCTTACTTTCCTCAAATATATTGGGATTACTAGTTTTGCTGTGATTTTAGTAGTCTCTATACGTGTGAAATACTTTTTCAAGATTGGTATTTCATTATCTGATATAAAAGAAAAGCCTAAGAGCTAACAGACAGGAAACTTATTGCCATTTTAAAAATTTCTCCCGTTACATTGGATTTATAGTCCACTACCCTTATTAAAAAAAGAGATAAAAATGGTGACAGTTTCATTAGAGCTATGGGTTAACTCCATTTTCATCACGTGTGCAGATCTCCTCTGGGGGAGATGCTTTAGCTCTGCCATCTGCCAGCTCATACATGCTTATGTGATAGAGGATTCTCTGCCAGAGTTTTAAGAGTTTCTTGGAACTCCAGTCATGCGACAGTATTACTTAACAATGGGTTGAAAGCAGACACTTCCTCTCTTGCAAATTCCAAGAAAAAGGAGCAGTAGAAGAAGGATTTTATTTTTTTTTTTATGCTGGAGCAGTTTGCTCTTTTTGAGTAGAAGCAAAGGTACTCACATTCTCTTAAAAAAAAATTTATTACTGTTTTCAGTCACGTTTTGTCTGTTCCCAAAATGTGAAAAACTCAGCTCTTGCGTAATAGTTTGAGAAATTTGTCTTTCAAATGACCTTTTTTACTAGATGGGCAGTAACTGCCCCAGAGAAAGTCACAAAAGAGTTTCTAGTCTAATCTGCTATTTTTGCTAACAATGTTCTTATACCTTAACCTCTAAGACTGACATCTTCCATGTTTAATCTTTAGAAGCTTGTTTTAAAGAGAGGTCAATCGTGCACATGAGAATGGAAGAAATATAGCCATTAAACGTGACTTCTGACAAGTGCAGAAACTTGCATTATGAGGCAATTGTCTTGGAGCTGAATCTGACATACTGAAGTAAAGATTGGTCATAAGTGAAGTGTTAGTACTTCTAAAAATGTTGGGAAAAATATTCTATTTCTACATTTCACAATAGTTTGATTTATGTAGATATATTTATCAATAAGAGGTGTGATTGTCTTTATTAAAAAAAATTAAAATTTCTGTCCCTTACTCAACTGAGAAAGAGTCTGGCTGTTGCTAAACTCATGTTTATTCTATTTGAATATTTGACAACAGATATTCAGCAACTGTGCTTGGGAATCTTCCCTGGTTTAGAGAGGAGTTATTTGAAGGGATATGCCTTTGAGGCTGCACATCCTTACATGTAGACAGTACCCACATGCGTACTTCCAAAAGGTCATTAAATTTTTCCTAAGATAATCCCTTATAAGTTTATACCACAGCAGACTTGCTCCTTGTGTCTCGTGGGCTGGTAAAACTCAAAGCTGTTAGAAGCGTCCGAGGTTGTTCTGCTGCTGTAGCTGGAGCAGAGGGTGTTGAGCCACCACCAACTAACGTCTTTCAGTGGTCTCTTCTACTTCAAAATCTAACAAAAGTTCCGCAGAAAGCCGCACACCACTCCTCCTAAAAGAGATCTGAGAAGTTCCCTCCTCTTCACTTAGTCACCCTGAGATTCGTGAGGTTTTGAAATCAAAACCAAGGTGCCACCTGGGAACTTGGTGGGTGTCAGCAGGGCAGCTGTAGCAGACAGGTACTGGGAGACCAGGAACCACCGCGAGCAGCGGGGAAGGGGCGGGAGGGCGCTCTGTGAACGGCGTGCTGATCGACAGGTTCTGTCCCTCTTGGTACCGAATGCGGTCATGGTTGTTCCGTGTTAGTTAGTGTGACTTCACCTACAAATCTACCAGAATTTTAAATGCATCACATAGGCTTCTAGTGACATGAAAGCTGGCAGCCGTAGCTAATCCAGAGTATGATCTATGAAGTGGCTGTGTCACATCAGCAAAACAATCTTGGGGAAGTAAGTTTTTTGGAAGTCTTAAATGAATTATTTCTTCTGGTTTCAGTTTACTTACACAGTTTCACTATGCTTAAAGAATTCTAATATGTACAAGCTCCATAATTTTCATTCTCCAAAGTGCTGGTTATGTCATGATTAGGTGTGTGTTTTACAACTTCTTCTTTTTAATTATTTACTGGCTTAGTGAATCTGCACTCTGGTGAAGAAGGGCTCGGAGGTCTTTGCTAAGAGCTTTTTCAGGAGGCTGATATTACCTAGGCTACTGGTGATAGGACTTGGGGAAAACGTTTTAGTCAGTAGATCAGGCACTTCATTCTTAAATTCTTACAGTCAGCTGAGTGGAATCATAGGGCTTTGGTGGTATGTTGATTGTCAGTGACTTTGGTCTAGTGTTTACCCTTAAGATATCTTGCATACTAGCAGCTTTGCTTTCCTAGTAGCTGCAAGAGGTCCACTGCCAATGTCAGCTTAGTATCCTCTGTAACTAAAACTTTGCAGAAAAGTCTTCTGGCACATTTGATTATCCTTATTCTTCCACACTTCTGGTTGTTCCATGAGCAAGCTTTAGGGGGATCAGGCACTGCAGAGGATCTGAATCCAAGCATCTAACAGAGTGGTAGGAAGAGCTACACACTTACCTTCGCTGGGACACTGATGTAAGCTTATAATAATGTTTTCTGTTGGCAGATTTTCAGCACAGCTTGTTCTACTGAACCGGGCCAGTCTCAGTGATGGCAAGGCTCCCAAGTGCTGCACCGCATACCCTGTGGATCCTTTTCTTTTCATATACAACAAATGAAGGTACGTCTGTCAATGTTTCAAACTGTCATACTGAAGTTTTTATCTGACAGCATTTTTCCATGACTAGTAGGCAACACTACTACCATCAATTAACTGATATAAAATGTGTGAGAAATATCCATATACTGGAATAGCTCTGCTGTAGGGCCTGTAGCTCTGCAGTCAGAGGACTCCTGTCAGTCCGCGTGCTCCCAGGCATGCAGAATTACTAAATAGGAAAATTTAGTTGATGGGATTTGAAGAAATTTCGCAGGCGCTTGCTGTCAGAAGTTACGTGCTCTGACATGCGTCTGTACCGGGGCAGATGACTGACACGTGATGGCCTGGAGTTCTTCGCTGCACTGTTCTCTTGCACTGTCAGGGTATATAGCTGCATTAAGTCTAAATGCTGCTTATCAGATAATGGTTATTTTCTGAAGTTCAACTGACAGGGGCTGAATATGACAAATTTTTTTTCCTTGTATTTTTTATTAGATATGTAAAATCATGTTTTCCAACAATGCATTTTTACTCTCTGGAAAAATAATCTTACTTTTTGTTTTCTATAGTTTTCAAATAGTTCCACAGCAGTCTACAACTTTTTTATTTTCTGTTTTTTAAGAAAAAAACAAACCAAAGTAGTTAAAATAAAAAATGGCCTGTCTCTAAGAAGGTTTATTAGCTACTTTCTTATGTGCTATGAAATAGTGCAATTTGAATTAATGAGAAGAACAGAGGTTTACAAGAGTGCATTGGCTGTGTCGTCTGATCTAGGTAATCCCACTCTCTGTAAATGATCTTTATCAAGGTTTAATTCTACAGATTTTTTTTCCCCTAGTTAGCTAGTTTTAAGTTTCTTCAGCATGGTATTCTAGTTGAGGATTAAAAAAAGAAATCCAGTATTTCAGTTCCCTTTTTTTAACTACATGAACTGAAAACAAACTCTGTAGTGTATGTGGTTTCAAAAGGAAATTCTCAAATACCTGAGGTTTAAAAAAAACACAGTGTAGCAGAGATAGAAGAGGGAGAAGGTCACAGGAAGAGAATACAGAAAACAATTTAGAGTTCTGGAAAGACATGAGGACACTGAAAGTCAAGATACATAGCTTAACACAGCAGGAAGAGCTTAATTTAATTGAAGTATTCTTGTAAGTGTCTTGAAAAATAATGATGTTCATCTTTAAAGGGCTTAAAATGTTAGTACTTCTTTTAAAAATGCGTCTTAAAGTGGAAAGAAAAAGAAACTAACAAAAAATACAAATGGCAACAAATACAAACAGCAGCAACCAGATAAACAGATGATGGCTCTTTTAAAGTAAATGAGCAGTGTGACTGTTACAGTATCGCAGAAGTTTAATCCTTAACTTGCTGCTCTTCTGATGATTCTTGGGTTTTTTGAAGAATCAGGAACCATGCAGAACAAAAGGAAATAAAATGAGGTGCTGCCATCCAGAAAGGATATGAGTTGATAGTTCTTATCTGCAAGATAAATACCTAGCCTTAGTAAGTAAAACAAAACATTTTCTAAATATTTGAACACTAATGAAACCATGAGCTGCAGTCAGTTCTAGGTTTATAACCAGTCAATATACCAGACAATTTAGATTATGATTTTTATAGAATTTTTAAATGATTCCTTGACAGTGCTGTACATGCTCATTTGCTTGGGTGAACCTCACTGAAGTTACTGAGCTTACTCAGGTGATCCAGGACTGCTGGGTAGCCAAGTTTTGTGGGAGGCCTTTTAGAAAAGGAAGCGAAAGTGATGTGGGGATTTTAATGAGGGTGAACGACCATACACTGACAGTACTAAACAATTAAGTGTTTCTTTGATTTGGGTTTTTATTGAAGTACAAGAGGGTCTGGTGGTCAATTGTATGTCGTATCGTGGCCACTAAAAGGCTTCTGACCATCACGTTTATTATATTTGCAGATACTGTACTGTGTCAGGGTATGCTGAAGTTATATCAGAATAAATAGCACAAACGGATTACAGAAAAGTAGAAATGTAAGAAGGACAAAATGAAATTAAGTATTTTTGACAACAAAAGTTTTTACTTGGGAGGAATAGTCTGAAACTTAGGTACCCACTGGAAAGAATAAGCCCATGAAGCGGCAGTGGCTGAAGGACAAGGGCCTTCACAGGATGTGAACTGTTGACAGCTTAATCTTGAATTTGCAATGTAAATGACAAGACTGGAGAGTTAGTAACCTGCTGGGCCATGTAAACAAAATTAGCCCTTGTATAATTGCCACAGGAACCTTCTGGCAGAATCCCTTAGATGACTATCAGAAAAATATCAGGAATAGGATTCTGAAAACCAGTCAAAGCTATTCTGAATTTTTACAGGGAATTGGGATGTAGAGCAGGAGGGAATGATTTCGATCGGTACACCTTGTGCAAGAAAAGGGAGGTGGTGTTAACATTTACAAATAATAGAGAATTCAAACATCAAAGAAGGTGAATAATTGTTTGTGATGATAAAAGTATTAGCTATTTCTGACTGCTACATTTAGAAATGATCACATTCCAGTTCCACGTTTGGCACGCTGTTCGTCCTAATAACAGCATGGCCTCACTGTCACATAGCCCCTCCTGTCCCTTGTTTCACTCATGTGGAGTGCATTGAAATAATGGAAAATGAGGCTGTAAGAGATACTGAAGGCTGTGTGTTCCACTTCCCAGTTCTAACAAAGTTATTTTGACCAGTGCTTTCTATTTTTTTCTTAAATACTGCCAGTGAAAGAGTTTGTAAACAAAACCATTAGGAGTGGAGGGACTTTGGGCTCTTCTGTACCCTCTCTGTGCCTGGAACAATGCAGCCAGATCTCTCCAGGTTTCTGAGCACAATCATAACAATGAAATAGAAGAAAGAACAGGAAATAATGGACAAAATTGAGAAAAGTTGTATACTAGAAGAAAGCCTGTGAGAGGAAGATCTTCTAGGCACTGGGGAACCGCTCTGGGGAGGCAGAGGGCTTGTGTTTGGGAAGCTGAGAACCACTGTTGATAGAGCGCAAGTGCCTGCCTGTAGGCAGTGATCCTGGTCTGACTGTTAATTGTCTGCACTTTGGTTTTTGAACCTTCTGTATGAACACATAGGATGATGCTGGTTTATAATTAAATGTTGCTCTGTTTTAGATAGAAAATCTGATTCTGATAGCTCTATGCTTGGAAGACTGTTGGATGAGTTGTGCCTTTCTATTTCAATATTGCTCCCGAGACCACCTTCCTCTCCAAGACTGTAGATGTCTCTGGAAAGGTGGAGACGTTTGGTGACATGCATCTTTCCATTTATCCAGAACACTAAAAATAACAATTTTTTAGGGGGTTGGTAGTTCTGTTTTAGATGGAAAAATTAACGTTTCTGCTTAGTCCAATCTATTGATTCTCATTGTGTGCTGCTTCTCCCTAGTTATGGCTGCAGGACACGTACAGGAGTTTGCATGTTTCAGTGACTATGACAAAGAGCTGGTTTGTCACTGGAAGGTGCCTGCACAAATTAATTGCTCCAGAGAATTCCTGCTCTCCTACAGGACCTATTTTTCTCCAAAGTAAGTGTTTAGTAAAATGTTACATTACCATTGTTGGAACTTCATGTATCTTTTACCCATTATCAGCTTTGATTCCTTCTCTCTACCATGGGTGTCCAGGACAAAAAGTAATCCAGTTTATTTGCCTTGCCAGGAGGAAAATGGGTTGCTGCAGTTATCAGCACTCTGTTCAGCATGCAGTGTTCTCTCCTGCAGACCTCTCTGCACTCTTAGGACAGAGAAGGGATCAAGTCCTACCCGTAGGAGTGGTAGGGCTCTCATAAATTTACCCAACCTTCCTTCCATGTAAAATTTTACCTCCTTCAGAAGAAATCCCACCTGATTTACCAGTCTGTAGCCTGTGTGAAAGGTGCTGTCCTCGGGAACCCAGGTGATTCTCTCTGGATACGGCCTCACTCCGCGTTCAAGCGCAGACTGTTGTCCCTGTTCTGCAGCAGGACCAGTCATCTCATACAAAGAAAGAGGCATCTGGGCTCTCCCGTTCTTCTCTGTATTATTTCTCCACGCAGACATTCAAATAACCTCACTTTATAGGCTGTAGTAAACCTTTTCCTCTACTAGCAAGCTGTAAGTCCACTCCCTTAGAGGTTGAAATGTGACAAAGGGTGTTAATTTTTCCTTTTGGGATCAATCTTGCCTTTTTGTCAAGTTTTACATTAGTGCAATAAAGATATCCAAGGGGCATTTGGGGGAGCTCAGTTTTGGTTTGAATTTGTTTGGGCTAAGGATTTTTAGGAACTGAGCTTGTCCGATTTGATTAACTCTACACACTGGGAAGCTTGATTTTTGCCTTTTCAAGAAATAGTGTGCCATGCTGTCTAAATATCACATAATTTTCTGCCTGTTTTTCAGAAACGTGTGTGTACCTGAGAATGGAAAAGACAGTTTAAGCTGCACATGTACAATATGTCCAGATTATTTTGTATCAGCCCTCACCTATCTTGTAACTCTAACCTTCAATGGGACTGATACGTGGAATTACAGTGTTACACCAGCCCTGGTTGGTAAGAAACTGTTTACTTTATCACAAGGACGTCTGATTCCAGGCTTTGCAGTCCTAGCTAACTCCTCATTTGTGTCACTGGAACAGTTTTTTCTTATCAGAGGTGAAATGCACCATGCTGGTTTAAATGCAAAATCTCTTTGTCTTAGAAACATGATTCTGGAGTAGATTCTTAAGGAGATAGTATAATAATGGGGCAAGCAGAGAGTGATTCTTCCTCTAGCTGTACTCTGCTCAGCTCCCAGCTAGCAGATGTTTTGGGCCTTAGATGTGTCTTTAGTGCATTTTATTTGTGTCTGTAAAATTCCAGAATAAAGAGAAATGTGCTGTTCCCAATTTCTAGAGAGACACTAGGCTATTCCTACTGAAACTGCTTCCATTCCTGTCTCTGTCATACTCTGATTTTTCACACTCGTTGAATCATGCCCCCAAACAGATTTTTACAGTAATTGCTGTTGGACTGTAACAACCAGTGATGAAAAGTTAATGACTCTGCTCTTTCACAGGACAGAGCATAGGTACAGTTTATGTGTCTCTAAGCACCTGATTTGTCTAGAACAGTGTGCTTGTCCCAATGCTTGTCACCTCAAGCACTCAGAAACCATTCACATACCTTAGGCAGGCTTTCACCTGCACTGACGAGCTGGTTCTTTTCACAATATTTGATTGTTGGTGCTGCTTATCAGCAGGGTAAGCAGGAGCCTGCACCAGTTTCCAAGACGGGTGGCCAGGACAGGCAAGCCGCCGGCCGCCAGAGCTCTGTGCCTACCCCACATCACAACCTGCTGTTGTGAGGGCACGGGCAGGTTGTTCCCATTTTTTCAGGCTGAAAGCTGCATCCAGTGAACTTGCATTTTGTTCAGCCAGCTCGAAGATTCAGTGCTGGTTAATGAATGCCTTGCTGTTGCTCTGTTTTGGCCTCTATATCCTTGTGCTACAGCATAGTGAAAAGGTTAAGTGCATTGACTGTGGTGTGATTTTGGTCTCTAGTGAATGTTTGTGTGTCTGCTTCTCTCCATCAGTGCTTTCCCATTATCATGTTCTCCTTAATTGTATTTTTTTAACATACAGTTAAGCCAAGGGCCCCCAAAAATCTTACCGTTAAGAAAGCTGAAAATGGTAATTTCAACCTAAGCTGGGAGGAGGCATATTCTCCTCCATCCATGCTCTCTGGACAGCCAGTCATCTATGAAGTGAAATACTGGAGCAAGCAGCACGCAACAGAGGTAAGAGACAGTCTCTTCATTTTCTGTCTCTCTGGAGCTTTCGAGTTTAAGAAGTCCTCTGAAGAGTCTTGAAACCATTTAATGAATAATGGTGTAAGGGCCAGCAAGGGCAAGTCCCGCAATGTTCCTGGTCACACATTTGCCACAGGTCACATTGTCCCAGGGTGGTTCCACTGGGCTCTGAAGGATTGAAACTCTCCTGACTGCCACCCCAAAATGGTCTGCTGCTCACAGTGACAGGGCAGAGATTGAAAATACAGTGCTGTGCTGCTGTTCCCTGAATTTCGTTTGCTCCATAGACATCAGGAAGCTGGAGGCTGTTCATGACTCCGTGACACACTTGAGGCATTTCAGACACCCTCCTGAACAATCCAGCACGTTAGGGCTGGGCCCCTTCTGGTAGGGGAGGGACATGCGTGGTGCATGGCACAAATAACCATCCACTCATGGCAACAAAATGCAGTATCACACAGAGCAGATTAAATACACGGTCACTCATTTGTGAAAGGTCACTGAAACACCTAACACTTGTTATTAGATTGCTGTCACTAACCCTTCACCTCAAAGAAATCAAAGTGAACTTTCTCACTTTCTCTTCAGGTTTCTGTAAAAGCAATTAACTACCAGGCAAAAAACTTTGAAATTGCTGCAAGCTCCTTGAGGAGAGGCTATGATTATGTTGCAAGTGTGAGGTGTAACTATACAGACTACCCAGCATACTGGAGTGAATGGAGTGAAGAAGTTGAGTTTCACTATGGTAAGTATTGTAACAAACAGCAGCTTGGTAAAGGGATGGTACAGTTTTGTAAACCCTATCACATATACCCCACTGCTCTCCTCTCAGAGGAGAGTTGCAGAATCATCATCTTCATCCTTTTGAATGTATTGTGGGTACATCTATAAAGGCTTACAAAGAGACTAAACATAAGAAGGCAACTCCTGGGGAAACTGAGGAAGAGGTGACCCAAGGGAAGGTGGGTGGTTTAGCCTTGCAAAAAGGAGGCTGAAAGGGGATGTATGTTCACTATAAATATTTCATCAAGTAGACACCAGGGAAGAAGAGATACTTAAACTGAAGAACAACGTTGACATAAGAGCAAGTTGTGTATAAATGAGCAAGAGATTTAGTCTGCAAGTTAAGTGATACTTTAACTGTCAGAGGCCTGAGGGTTTATAAAAATCTCTGAGGAGTGACGGAGAGGACAAGCATAGCTGTACTACAGTGGAGATGGTAATGCCATTTTAGGGACTGTGTGGCAGGTTTGTCCCCGACAAATGGCCTCCCAGCACACACAGCTCTCCCGGCTCCCAACGCTGCCAGTGACTGACTGCAGTACCTGTGCTGGTCTTTGAGACACGCCAGACACCATCACCACTGCTAGCTGTGTGTGTTCTGGTGTTTGTCTGCTGGAGGCTTTATTTTTACATCCTCTAAAGGAGCATTTTTTTTAAAGTGCAGGAGAAGAGAAGTGAATTTGGTTTTGCCAGTACTTGTATTTATGCGCATACTCGTGTAGCTGTATCTGTTTATTTAACAGATTACCAAGTAACAGCTGAAGACATTCTGCAGATGGCTGTCCCTGTATCCTGCATACTGATCATGGCAGTGTCTGTAATGTGTTACTTCTGTTTTACCAAGTATGTATCACACTGTTTGCAGGTTTTGTGGAGTAGCAGCTTGCACAGCTATCAGCATTGCTGTTGTTTAGCTGGATGCCCGGAAGCACAGGAATCTAATGTTATGCTTTTCCTCAGCACCTTTATCTGGCGCTCTATGAGCAAACGTTTTATAAACACAAATCAGTTGCACTCTGTCATTTTCTGAATATATAACTGAGTATTCTCTATTAATCTTACTCATGGGCTTCTTACAGCATCCGAAACAGGCTGCAGTTACGGGGTTTGTCAGTTTTTGACCCCAGTCTTTGCTGGAGTTCCAGTAATGATGGTTAAATATCTGTATTTCTTTTTAAATTTTTTTTAGTGGTGATGTGAAAGTGGTGTACTATCTGTTTCACATACCATTTCAAACATGATTAGAAGAACATGTGACTGGTTGTGCAGAGCAGTCGCACACCAAACATATAAACATCTTTTCACTAGTTTAATAAAAAGCAGCATTTGGAGATGCACAGATCAAGCACTTCCTGTTGCTGAATGCAGATGGCTAAGAGAGAAAAATAGAAGAGGGAAGTGTACACTGATGAAGCCAAGATGGAGTTAAAGCAAACAATTTTAATTCTTCCTTTGCAGAGTGAAGAAAGAATGGTGGGATCAAATCCCAAATCCAGCAAAGAGCCATTTGGTTGTAAAAAATGTCAAGGTAATTTAAAGACTTTGCAAAAAATACCTTTTCCTGATCACCATATGAAGAATATGTAATAAGTGCTATTGTCTGGCTAGTGCAGGGGATACTAAATACAATTCATGTGTCCTAAATCTGATTTGTATCTTTTTTAGTTTTCAGTTTTGTGCTACATTGATGAAATTAAGTTCCCTTTCCATGACTTAAAGCAGAGTCACATGGAAAACCAAATGTAAGTAAGATAAAGGAAACAAAAAAAACCCAACCCACCTCTGCTTCATAACGTAAAATTGTTTCCTATTTCATAAACATTAACTGTCCTTTCCTTTTGACTTCCAAAAACAGAAGTTGCAAGAACTGTCTGGCTCAAAGTTTATCAAACCAAAACTTCAAGGGAAAAGGTAACATCGGAAATGCTGAGAAATCTTGCAGTTGCCACAGCAAGTCTGGAGAGTGGCTTCCAAAAGGGAGTAGTGCAGATTTAACCCCCGAGACGATTCTGGTTGAAGAGTCTGTAGAAATCTGTGAATGTCTGACAGATGTTGAGGCTGAGAGCCAGGAAGAGACCAGTGACCAGCTGACCACGTTTGAGCCTTGTGAGAGCAGTGTCAGTGCTTTCAGGGAGCACACTGAACACAATGATGCACTAGCGAGGATGTTCATTGATCTTCTGGCAGATGAAAACAGCATGCAAGGCAATGAAGACCCAGACATCATCACAGAAGAGAATAAAACCTTTGAGAAATTTGAATCAGAAAATCCATCACAGCGAAGTCCAAAAGAAAGTGCAGCCCAGAGCCAGCAGCCATGTGATATTTCTCATACAGTCTCCCTTTTCACCAAAGCTTTTCAAGATAACTACAATTGTAGCACAGACAGCAAGAAGTCAGAACAATCAGAAGAATCCTTTGAATCTGGCTATCGGAGCTCGAGCATAAATTCTGCTTCTCTGGATGCAAGAGATCTTCAACATATGGTTCATCAAAGAAGTCTGTTTCCATGCAGTTCTGAAAGCCAGCATGACTTGTGTGTCCTGATCCAGGAATCTCCAAATAAACCATCCTTTGGGACCAAAAAAGACAGAATAAGCAACCCTGCACTCAAGAGCTGTGACACCCTTGTCTCTCCACCCGTGGAGCCCTGTGGCTTGGGATACAAGAGCTGTGACACCCTTGTCTCTCCACCCGTGGAGCCCTGTGACTCGGGATACAAGAGCTTTGATATTCTTGTGTCTGCAAGCAAGGAACCAAGCAGCATTGTGTATAAGAGCTTTGACAGCCTCATGTCTCAGTCTGTGGCTAACAGTAGCCTGACTCAGTGTTTCAAAAACATGTGTTCCTCACCACCTTTGACACAGTTTTCAGAGACAGTAGAACTTAGCTGCAGAGATCAAATTTATCAACCCCCAAGCAATCAGACATGTTATGCCAACTACAGATCTCCCTGCTCTGAGCCTGATTTTCAGAACACCTGTTCAGAACATACTGATTTTCCATCTTTCTCCACACACACAAATGACAGTGCTTCAGCTTTCCTACCAGAGGAAGAAATATATAAGCAAGTAATGTATCAAAATGTTCAAAAGAAGGCCAATAGAAGTTCTTGCCCCATTGGACCTCAACCATCTGGGTATCAGCCTTTTGATAATGCAGTTAAATGTCATGGTATGTACAGTGACAATGACAGTGAGGTTATCTCTAGGTCATTCTATGAACCCTTCATTTGTCATTTGTACAACAACCTGAGAGAAACACCTCCAGATACCATCGTCTGTGAGCCTGACCAGAGGACAGATGACCGCATATGTGTGCTTGTACAGGGTTTTGACTGCAGCCTTGTCCCAGGTTCAGCCTCTAGTGACAATGTCACAGAGACCAGTGATGGCAGCCTTTGGATCATCGACTCTAATGAGCTGTTTAGTGATAGTAAAGATGAAAATACCAGTAGAGATGAACAGCTGTTGCATTTGGTAGAGCTGAACTGTCAAGATTTTAACAGCAGAGAAAGAACTATAAAGGGGACAAAACCTGACAGCTTTAACTGTACTGGTAAAGGAACGCAAGAGAGCATCAGCAACAGACTAAATACTGCCTTTCACTGCCACACGCACAACTACTTGGGGAAACTTGGAAATGCAGGGGAAAATAAAGAGGTGATAAAGCATGTGGTAGGCAGGAGGTGTGGCTCAGCATCTGGCTTACCAGAAGAGTCACTGGACAGCACTGGGCTAAACACAGACAGAAAATCTGCAGAGCCCCTGGAGCTCCTGGTCCCAGACAAGTTGTCACCTCCTCTTTTTGTGGATAACTCCTGTCCTGATTCTCACACCGTTTCCAGGGAGGGTTCTGGACTGGCACCTGCAGTTAAAAAAAGTCCAGTAGAACTATTGAGAGAAAACAACAGGAAGAATGAGAAAAAAATTAAACTTGTACAGGTCCTTGCCCAGGAGGACAACTGCTACATGAAGGTAGCCTAGCCACACTTGCCAAGGCTGAACCAAACCAGTCTTTGGGAATAAACTGTATGGCAAATTGAAATGTTGCTTCTCTTCAAATCTTGGCTGAGGTGAGGGCTGCTGCAGGGGGGTTGTAACGTGGTGCAGGCCCTGGGACCGCAGGGGTTAGCACCGAACGCTTGCAGCTACAACTCGGAGGGGCTGAAGCCAGAGCTAGAGTTTCTCTGGCCATGATTGCTCTCTGAAGGTGAGCGGCAGCTGCATGAAGTCAGGGTTCTTAGTACAGCTCTGGTGGTTGTTGCCCCGGCTCTGTACGTCTTCACACCTGGACATGGGATGTAGGTGCAGGTCGAGGGGAAGCGACTGACTTGCACTGGCAGCATCACACAGCTTCCATAATTTATTTACTGGGGAGGAGGGAGGTCCTGTGTGCCTAGTCCCAGTATGGGGTACTTGTTTCTATACTTGCTCAATCTAGACCTGAAATAAAGATTATTGTCATTTGGGCTTAAGCAATGCTGTTATTGATGGTTAGTTTCTTATTCTGTGGAAGCAGTTATTCCACACTTTTATAGCTGTAAGTGAAATCAGACATTTCTAAGCAGTGTTTTCCCAGAAAGTTTATCCATTTTATGGTCAGACTCCCTGAATTGATGGAGTGTTTTTTTAGCTTCTCATTCTTGTCCAGTCAGAATGGGAATTATGCCTGCAGCTTTAAGGTGGCATATTCTTATTGTTGGATAATTGTTCCAAAAGTTTTACAACTCTGAATTTTTCTAGGGCATTATCATCTATTTTGGTATGGTACATTCCACCCTAGTATGCTGGCAAGTGGCACAAACTAGTGAAGACCTATTAAGTAATTTTATGTGTATTAAAATATGGGTGTATTCTCATCATTTAGAAAACCCTGTTTGAATTGCCATTCATAAGAAAGGAAACACTAATGCCACAGAAAGTGGTTTAATGTGTTTTGTAAGTAAGATTTTTGCACCACAAATCTCTCTTCAAAGTTCAGGTTGGCCAAGTAGTAGAAATGTCTATGCATCAATTTTGCAGCAGTAAAAAAGGGTGTGTAAGCCCTGGAAGGAGACTCGCAGGGAAGTGTCTGTGTTCAGATGTGATAGTTGATGTTGTGTAGGCACTGGTTTGTGGCTCACTTTCACTAGGGTGGTGGTTAGTGAAAGATCTTGCTGTTTGTAGTTAAGGTGCTGATCGGCATGTTTTTATTATTTTACTGAAATTACCAGGTTGAATTTTATTTTCATTCTGGCAAGATTTAATTCTATCAGAAATACTCTTTTGTTGTGTGAGGTCTGTCGCTGCTGTAGTTAACATCAGCACAAATTCTGTGGTGGGGGGTGCGTGAGGCAGATGAAGAGGCTTTCCAGGACCTGTCAGCAAAACCCGCACTGAGGTGGTGGAACAGGAAGAGGCAGAGGCCATGGTTTGCCTCATGAGTAACACGACTTACTTCCCTAAGTGCAGGCAGAGTCAAGTTTAGGCAAAATCCCACAGCTAGTTATTGCAGCTCCCCAGAGCAGGTTCTGTGGCAGCACAGGGCTGTTAAGGGAGGTGCGGGGACACCATCCGTGCTTTCTTACCCTTGTGCTCCTTGTGCCACCCTCCGGGAAGGCTTCACTTGCCTGGAGCAGCCAGGAGAGGTCTGCTCAGGCCAGGACTGGGAAGCCGTTTGCTGCAGCACTTCTCTGCAGAGCCCCAGCTTCATTCTGCCTTTCCCTGGCTTTTTTTCTTCTACAGAGCTGTGCCCTCCTGTCTGCTCATTTCTGCTGAATGTCTTTCTGTGCAGGGGTGTTCTTCGCCTTCTCTCCCTCAGTGTTTCTCTGGTGGCGTCAAACTAACTCTTCGAGAAGGGGGAGCCCTACTCCTGCGCCTTTGCCTAACCCGAACTGGCGGCAAAGCCCGGGGCTGGCTGGGCGGGCAGCTGGCCCGGCCCGAGGGGCAGGGGCCCGGTGAGCGGGGCCTCAGCTCCCGAGGCAGCTCGGCCGCCCCGGAGAGGAGCTCCGCTCCCGCAGGCTGCGGCCTGTGGAGCTAGCGCAGGGCTCGTGCCGGCACGGAATTACTGGTGGCCGTCAGGGCATTTTCGGTGTTTCTCAGGTGGTTTACAGGGCTGCAGTGCGAGTGGAGGCCTGTGCGAAGTTGTGGCTTAGTTACAGTGCTGTTTGCTACACACTGACAACTCCTCCACCTCCACGTTTCTCACCAGGTATTAGCAGCCTGCCTCACGCGAGGGCATCGGCTTCTCAAGAAAAGCGGGTGTGTTCCCAGTTCGGGAAAAGCTAGTTCGGACTGACTGCCTTTCCTTTGCAGAGAGTGCCACAGCCTTGCCCTTTTGTCTTTCTCTTCTTTCTGAACGGTGTTAGGTCCTTAGAAACAGGCACCTGTACAGAAAAGCTGTTGGCAAATCCAATCACAAGATTGTTGCCGCCTGTGAAAAACTAACAATGACCCCAAGGCGAGGGTGTGACTAGGCTGGAGCAGGGACTTGAGGATGTGGGATCAAGTTCTAAGGGCAAGTTAATTTAGGGTGAAGAAGTCAGCTTTTTAAATAATTTGTCTCTGGGTCTTGCTTTGGGTCACTGCATTGTTCAGGCAGGGTGCAAGGATGTCCAAGTGCTTATCTATCGTGAGATACAAACTTTACCTAAGAAAACAAATTATTTTAGGTGTTGCATTCTAGCAGTGACATGGCCAAAGGAGCAAAGGGTGAGAGAACCAAATGAGGTGGTTGTAACTTCCAAAACCCTGCTCCCTAATGTTTACTTCTGACTGTGGAGTTATGTGACAAAACTCCTTAGTGAATAGATACGGAGAGGACAGTTTGCCTTCTCCTAGCCTTGTCTTTTCTGTAGAAAACTCCTTAGGGAGCATGATTTGTGCAGTTTGTATTCTAGCTCTGACAGACAAGCTTCCAAAGGGTGTAATTTTGCTTACAGTTGCTTTCACAAAAAATAGGTGCTTTTGACAAATTTGACAAAGTGCCCAGGCATGTGCATGTGTGTGGGCACACATTGACTGTTTCCCCTCTCTGCAGATTGCCCAGTGCAAGTTCTGCCCCAGGCTCCCACATGGTGCTGTATCATGATCACTCAGTACCCAGAATTTTAATTTTTTTCACCATGCTGCTATGACTGAGGCAGCCACGTCATGCTGCCAGCTTTTCATCAGATGTTGCAGCCACGACACGCAGCCCTCGGGGCCCCTCTGACTGAACTGTGGTGATGAGGTTGAAAACTGAGCAGCAGCTCAGCCTGAACTTGCTGACAGCCAGAGCGCTGAGACCAAATGAGCTGGTCTGTTTTTCAGCTGCAGGACTATCGTCTCTCAAAGCAGATTTCTCCAAATCAAAGGAAAAAAACAGCCAAGTGAGGAAGAGGGCACTCTCAAGGTACCTCACTAACACACGTAGCCGTGCCTCGGTGTCTTTTCCCAGAGCACCTGGTAACAGCCGCCTGCATCACCACTGGTTTGCTAAGTACTGGCTATTCTCATTCCTCTGACAAGCTGAGAAAGCAACGCTGAGAGGAACTTTACTGCTGTACTCTGGCTGAAGGTGCTTTGCTCTGTCCCATGTGCTGTGCTGCTTCCATCCTGTCTCATCTGTGGCTTTCTGCAACATGGAAATTTCCACACAGTCACCTTCTACCCCTCCAGGAAGACAAAAGAGAATTAAAACTGACTCCATCTCTAGGTGAGGAGTGGGGAACTGTCTGCTGTGGAACATTTAGCGACATGTGGGGAGGAGCAACTGTTTTCTTCTTCTTTTGCTCTTAGCCAGAATACTTCCTATAAAACTCTGACCATCTGTGCAGGAGACCTGAAGTTCTGTATTGTGAATGCAGAGGGGCAGTTGTAACAGCCAGAGCTGGCAGAGTCCCAGCCTATCTTGGATAGAGGGGTGAGTGCGCTAGGCCTGCGGCAGCCTGGGGAGCCTGGCAGGCGCCCGAAGGAGCTCCTGCTGCAGCTCAGTGATGGATCAGCCTAGCCAGGGTCCTCTCTGTGTTCTGCCCTGTAAGAGCAGGGTGTTTGCAGCAGCATGGTGTTTGTCCTCTGCTTGAAGCTTACTGAGTTGGTGACTAACACACCACCGGGACTTTCCTACTTGCTGCTGTTTCCCCAGCTCTTAGACATGGGGGAATTTGCCATAAACTGAAGAGTTTGAGGTTGGCTGCTTCTCCACAGCTCAGCCACTGCTGGTTTCACTTTCGGTGAGCCACCCACACAGAAACAAGGATTAAAACAGGGTGAGAAAGCGCTGGGCTGCCTTCTGGGGGTAGATTTTCCATACCTGGCTCAGGGTTGTAACCAGTCCCTGGTTCTTGAGTTGCTGTGAGAACCAGGTCCGCACTGGCCATGGCTGTTCCTGAAGTTAGCACTCTCGTCCCCTGGTGAGGAGGCAGCGGAGGCCTCGAGGAGCCAGCTCTGCCAGCTCCTGCTGTGGTGTTCGCTAACCAGTCTGCCAGGCCCTGGGTTTGAAGGTTACACAGGGCAGGCAGGAGGAGGAACACATGTTCTCCTCCTCAACACCAGGGACGCAGTAGAAGCATCACCTGCCTCATTTCCTCCACAGGGGCAGGTATTAAGACCCATAGTTTAGTATGTGCCATCTGTTCACTCTGAGCTGGGCCCAGCCCCTGCAAAGACACTGTTGTACAGAAGCATCGGGGATTCTTCCCACTTCTAGTCAGGCCACCTCTGCTGTTCTTATGACTCAAAAACCTTCAGCTGTGGTCCCTAGTGTGAAGGACCAACACATTCAACTGCTGTCTGTGTTGTCTCTGTTTTGCTTGTTATCTGTTGTTGTTTTAGCTTCTTGCAGCTCCTAGCACATCACTTTCCACCTTTTGCACGGGCACGGTGTCAGGGTGTGGAGTGTGGAAGCAAGCTCTGCGGAGCTGGGCACAGAACAGCACCCAGGGGACCCCAGCAGCTTCCTCGTTCGAGCAGGAGCCTCACACCACAACCAAAGCCACGGTGGATCATGGAATCCCCCCAGCCTCTACATTTTGTAGGAACAACCTTCAGAGTCCTCCTCTTCTTGCTGAGCACTGTAAACATTTACCAGTGCTGATTTGGATGCAGATACACTGATGTGACAATTTCATCGCGCTTGTCCCTGTACTTTTGTGGAGCCAATAATGCCATGTTTTGGCCTTCTTAGCCTCAGACAAAACAAGTTTCTGCCTTCTGATGCTTTATAGTGAGCTCCTACCAGCATCAGAGCAAAGCCACAGCTTCACAAAACTTGGACTGCCCCGAAAAAGTCTCACAAAGCCTTTTGTCTTCTCCATGCAGAAATGTATTTTGAATTTTTTGAAGTATTAGTTTCTTTGGAGCAATCTGTTTCCATGAAAATCCTGTTTATCTCCAATGTTGATAATATGCCCCAGTGAAAAGCATCTTGCAATACATATAACTCTGCCTGTTTGACCATCCTGTACCCCCTCCTGCCTTTTCTCCTAAAGACATGGTGCATCCCCCCAGTGACATGAGAGGCTCCCAACCACGTTAGGGCTACAGGGTTTGGGATGGAGCCCGTGCTGTGCTGCGTGCTCATCTTGCTGCATGCCACGTGGAGGCAGCAGGCGATGCGAGCCATTGGCGCTTTCTTCAAAAGTCAGAGGTTGAAAATCACCTTGGTGTTTTCACCCTGTCAGAGGTGCCAGCAGCTATGCAAGGCTGTTCCCAGCCCCAGGTGTGGATGCCCTGCTGTAAACGCTCCTGGCCAGGCAGCACTGGTGGGATGTGCTGATTTTTGGCAGCTGTGGTAAAACAGAGATCCAAGAGGCTCAGGTGAGGTTCTTGCCATAAATAGCTGTTTGCCAGCAGCAGAGTTCTGGTCTTGGTGCATCCCTGTGAGCAGAGGCCTGGGGACAAGCTGATGGATGTTGGCTCTAAATGGCTCCGTTTCTGCCAACCCGCATGGGAGGAGCGGGGAGTTCTGCTAACGCTGCCGACTTGGGTGAGTGCTGTGGGGACATGTGGTGACCGGCTGACCACGTGCAGAGCTGGAGCTCTTTGGAAGCACAGAAGGTGTGACCTGGGACCAGCCTGGCTGTGAGAGGGGAGGGTGGAGCGGGCGGGACACCTCAGCTGAACAGCCAAGGAAAGGCTGATGCTTAGCTGGTGAAGCTGCAGGAACACAACGGCAGGGCAGGGCTCTGACACGCACCCGGAGGGGAGTAGTGCTGGTGGCTGTCCAAAGGGTGCCAGGCTCCCGGAGGAGGGTGGTGTGGCGGCTGCCCTGGGGAGAGCGTGCATTCCTGTGGCTGAGGGCCTGCGGTGCCGTGAGGCTGCTGGCGAGATGCTCTGGGCATGTTTTGCATGGTGCAGATGAGGGTGGTGGGTTTGAGCCTGAGCAGAGCTGTGGGTTTCTGTTCCAGATGGTTAGGGTGAGTTCACAAGCACAGTCATTCCTGTTTCTGTTTACCAGCATGCGTCTGGTGATTTCCTAAGAGAAGATACAAGCCTCTGTGTGATCCCCTCCGTGTGAGCAAGACGTGCATAGTGATTGCTCTGGGAAGGTAAGCCTTTTTCCTCTGGCAGAGACAGGGATGTGCTCATGCTACAGCTTTCATGCCAAATGGGTTCAGACTTGATTTGTATTGGGGAAAATAAGAGGCTGAGGCCGATGTTGGTGTCTACAAAGATGCAACTGCCAAAGTCGAAAGGCAGGCAGGAGGGTGCTGGGGTCTCTGTGGGTGGCACTCAGCATTCCCCAGGGCAAAAGCGACGCACTCTTTCCTCATCCTGTGTCGCTCGCAGGCCGCTAGCTGAGGGGCTTTGTTGTTTTTCAACCTGCTGCTTTGCTGACTAACACCTCTGCTTTCTGCCTGGCTCATTCATACTTTACCCAATTTCCTGAGCTTTGAGGCGGTTTCTTCTATTGCTTTCCCTTCCGGTAGAACACTTACTCATGTCTCAGCTGTTCTTCTGCCATTTTTTTACTCATTACTTATCGTAATGTATGCTTATCTTCCTCCTAAATGTCACCAGTCAGTAAAGGTAGCTTTGACGCTAGAGTTACACCAGGTCTGTATCTTTGATGCTGAGGATATAGTTTTAATTCTGTTGTGACAGAAAGAAAATACAGAGGTAGAACAGTTTGTGTGGGTTTTCTTCCTCACATCATGAACTTGATAACTGCAAGTGTCACTAATTCTCCCTTCTAGAGAAAGGAATTGCCGTCTCTGTTATTTCCTCTATGCATATTTATTCTTGCTCATAAATACATATGGATGTTTCCCTTCTTCCAGCCATGGCAAAATGCTTTGGGGTCATCAATAACTTTAGCAGAATCCACCAAGCCTTCCCTGGTGTGCCCTGCATGCTTGCCTCTTGATGAATATTGCCACTGCAGGTTGGGCTGAGATTACAGCTGCATGAAAGTAGTTGCCTCTCCTATTGAATCTACAGCAGTCCATGGCAACTGGCCTCCTTCAGGTGTCCAAGAGCTTTACCTTGGGGGCTGGATGCAGCTGCTCTGAAGTGCCACAGGACCTCAGGTGCAGAGGGGCCTGTGCCCACACAGCACAGAGAGCTCTTGGAGACAGTTGCTGCACACGCAGAGCCCTGACTGGCCTTGCTTTGTGCAGGTGAATCCAGTGCTGTGCTTCAGGTGACAGCAAGTATCAGGGCTTCTAGAGACCTGCCTGTGTCCTACGTCATGGCTCTTCCGGGCTGGGTGTGGCGGATACCGTCCCTCTCGGCCGCTGAGGGAGATCTGGTGGGTCACCCTGCTCTGGGCTGCCCAGGACAGAGGAGCTACATGTAGGTGAAGCATTTTCTCTGCAGGGGCAGGGTGACCTGTTGCTCTTCCCATTGCAGCACTCACAGTTTCACATGTGCACATGCCTGTACTGGCACATACGTGCACATGTGTACAGGCACAGTGCTAGATGACAGAAGAGAATCAGTCATAAAGTTTCGACACATCCGTGCATGATGAGCTATTCCAGCCTTCTTCTTGGCTTTATGCTTCACCAGCAGTAAGCATCACAGGAGGGAAGCTGCACATCTGAATTCTGGCAGTCAGTGAAGGGTAAACTTTCAGAGCTGGTTCCTACTCTCTGTGCATCTCCCCAGGCTGCGGGGCTGGGCCTTGCCAAGCCTTTGCACCCTCTGGCAGGGCTGCAGGCTCTTGAGCTGGGCAGGTCTCAGCTGAACACGGAGCCAGCTCACGTGCACCCAGCGGCTCCGCTGCCGTCTCTGGGTGACTCCTCGGGTCTGAGCCTCCTGCCGCCGCGCTGCGCCATGTGTGCCAAGTCCTCTCCGTGCTGCCTGCTCTCCCTCTTGCCCAGGGAGCTGCAGTGCCCTTGCAGCCCCTTTTAATGTCCATGGAGGTGAGTTGAGCTCCCCTCCCTCCTGTCAGCATCGCAGGGCCCAGCCAAGACACGATGGAGGCCAGGGTCAGGGTCACTCCCTGTGGTCTGAGGGCTGGTGCCCTGGTCCCGGGTGTCCTGGGCGGTGGAAGCAGAGCACAGGTGCTGGGCTGCCTGCGATCTCCACGCTGTACTGTAGAGCTGGGCTTAACCATTGAATGTCTTCATGCTGCTGCCTCCCCACTGCAAGGCTCGAACTCCACAGCCCCACTATGACCTTTTAGATCTGAGCCTTGTGAGTTTTGATCTGCTCTCCCACCTCTTTCTCACATAAGAGTAAGAGCAGAGCAATACAGTAATAAATGTTGTGTGGGTGTTGGGACCCGCATTCATTGCCTCCTCTGCTCACCACATCCTACTATCAGCACAGTAATACTGATACAGTGGTGACGTCAGCTGCCATTTATCACTGTGTATTCCAATACACTACAGCTCTTGGTCGGCACAAGCAGGCTTTGCTCTTACTCAGAGCTGAGGAGATCCACCTGCTCCCCAGCAGTGTCTGCAGTCGCACAATGCTTTAACCAGGCCGGCCGTGGAAGAATTGGAGGGCTGAAATGGACAACTGAAAGGATGGGGCAAGGTAATGTCCATGTTTCCAACAATTTTCCCTGCTGCCAGTTTGTTACTTGATACCTGTGACTTCACTGTAAATCTTTCTAGAGCTGACGTGGCCCCTGTGCCCCTGCTGTCAGTGCAGCTGGCCTCTACCAGACAGCTAGAGAATCCTTCTGCTTCCCTCTTTGTGATTAGATGGCAGTGTACATTGATAATGAATTTTTTTCAAGAAGAAAGCTTGTTTTTTGCATATAACTGGTGGACTGAGGGACTTCCACTCTTTTTTCCTTTCATGTAGCTATGACATTTATTTCCTCATGCTTGGAAATGCCAGATTTCTTTTTATTTTACTTAAACTGAGTTCTTAGACTTTTTTGGTTTTTTGTGGAAATTTTATAAGTGCATACATTTCCTGGAGACACTTCAAACCACAAGCTTAAACTGCATCCATCTTTGGCAGCTTATAGCACCATATTTTCAGATCCTTAACAAAAATAATCCGCATAAATGTCTGTGTATTGGTCCTATTTCCTGTTCTCTGGTATATTAAAACCTTGTAGCACCATTTACATGTGCACATCTATATAGAATGGCTAATCAACTTTATTACTGTGCTCTCAGTACACTGCTCCCTAGGATACTACAGAGCTTGCAGCAATGGTACTTAGCAGCTGTACAACACTTGATATTTTATAAGAGTTAAGTAACTGTTTCAAGGGTGCATGAAGCTGTCTCGGAGCCCTCATTTCACAGAGAAATTAAAATGACGTGGTAGAAAGGACTTTTCTAATGCCAGACAGGGAATAAGTTCTTCCCTCCAAGTGAACATTCACATGAGCAGGGTGCTGACAGATAGAAGCGAGTGGGAAGGGTGTAATGAATGGAGGGGTGTAGGAAAGGTGGGGGTCTTAATCACAGACTGGGATTGAGGCTTGAAGAGGGCCTGACTGGAGGAAGGCTCTGCACAGGGGCTGCTGTACATCTCTGTGAAGTCATGAGGCCCTCCAGCCAGCAGAGACCAGAGACACTGCTGCAGAGGTGCATCTTTCCCAGCCCTTCACACATGTCCACGTCTTGTCATAACGACCTGGAGCACAGTCAGGAGGCCAGACACACACAGCATGGACACTTTCTATGGTGCTCTCAGAGTTAGCAATCCTTCCCCACACCTCCGAGGTAGGAGAATTGTGTAAGAAGCAAAGGGGATAAGCGTTGGGCTAATCTGTGGGCTCTGGCCGGGGTAGAGAGTTGGGGCAGTGGAGTTCCAAGTGAGGAAGTACTGTCTCCTTGCTTTGCCTGTTAACAGATCCTATGTCTGTCTTTTGCCACTGTGCTCTTATTCAGGAAGCTCCTTTCTAGATGACAACCTTACATATTAACCCCTTTCCAGTGTGTAATGGCAGCCTCTGATATTTCTGTAAGACATCCTCCCAGTGAGCTGATCGGGCTTGTTGCTGTGGTTTTTTCCTGTTCAGTCCTTTCTGTCCCATTGGATCAATGGTATTATTCTTTGAGCAGAGAAAGAAAAATAGGGAAGCCTTTTTAAAGAAACCACAGTCCAGTAGCTAAAAGCAGCAAAGACTTCCCTTGCATTGCTCTGTCCATTTAGGCAGGAATGGGGGTAAAACGAGGGAGCTACCGAAATGGACATGAATCACTGGGGGCACTGCCAGTTGGATTCTGAAACAAGCAGTGGGTCTGCAGAGCTCTGAGGGCCCAACCCTTCCTTCCTCTGCTGAAGAAGAGGCAGCAGGTTGCCTTTCTTGGCCTTACAGGGTGGCTGAGACTGTGGAGCGTGACAGTCACAAAGCGAAGTGACGCTGAGGGGCTGCAGTAGGGCGAGTGCTGGGCAGCACTAGTGTGTCCTGCAGCCGAGCGCCTGCTGGGTTACGGCAGCGAGAGAGCACGAAGGCTTGAGGAGCAGCAGCAGCCCTGGGGACTCTGCGCTCTCGGGGTGAGAACAGGCCCGTTTGGGCAGGTTGTTGGCCTGGTTGTTGTTGGACTGCACCACCAGAAGCAGTGGTAATGAAAATGGGTGTTATACAGGGAGAACCTGGAAGAGATTGGGACCAGAGGGGTCAAGAAAAGATGTTTCTTCAGGAAATGTGCCCTACAGAAGGAAGGACTGGAGTGTGGGGAAAGAGTTTCTGGCCGGTTGCTCACAGCAGGCAGGGGGGACTGTCAGGGTACCTGGGGCTCCTCGCTGAGCTGGAGCTTGTGCTTCATCTGCAGGATATGTCAGGCAGGAAAGGAGGGGCAGCAGCAGCATGGCTGCTCCCACCGCAGGGCATGAGGTGTCTGTGGCACCTCCTGAGCGAGCCGTGCTGATCTCATCTGGACAACCACATCTGTGCTGCTGTGAGAGCAAGTCTCTGAGCTCACACGGGGCTACAGGGGCTTTTTGGTGGCTGCTAAATTTATTTTGCTTTCATTATTTGAGTAAACCTGGGAAATTTTTAAACACCACAAATGTTTCCCAGGTGGGAGAGGCCTCACTGGCATTCTCTCTGCTAAGTGACTGTCTGGAGGCTTGCTGGTGGTGGGGAGGAGGCACAGGCACCCCATGACCTGGGTCCTGCACCTGGCTTGGGGCAGCCCCCAGTATCAACACAGGCTGGGGGTGAAGGGATGGGCAGCAGCTGTGACGAGAAGGACCTGGGGGTACTGGTGGGTGAAGATCTGGACATGAGCCAACAACATGTGCTCACAGCCCAGAAAGGCCCCGTGTGCTGGGCTGCACCCAGAGCAGGGTGGGCAGCAGGGCCAGGGGGGGGTTCTCCCCTCTGCTCCACTCTGTGAGACCCCCCTGCAGGGCTGGGTCCAGCTCTGGGGCACCAACAGCAGAAGGACACGGACCTGCTCGAGCGGGGCCAGAGGAGCCACAGAGATGCTGGGAGGGCTGGAGCACACCCTGTGAGGACAAGCTGGGGGAGTTGGGGGGTTCAGCTGGAGGAGAGAAGGCTGCGGGGAGATCTTAGAGCTTCCTCCTTAAAGGGGATTTATGAGAAAGATGAGGGGGGAATTTTTAACAGGGCCTGTTGCGATAGGACCGAGGTAACGGTTTTAAACTAAAAGAGGGTGGATTCAGACTAGATGTAGGGAAGACATTTTTACAATGAGGGTGATGAAACACTGGCACAGGTTGCCCAGAGAGGTGGTGGATGCCCCATCCCTGGAGGTTGGACGGGGCCTTGAGCGACCTGATCTAGTGGAAGATGTCCCTGCTCATGGAGGGGGTTGGACTAGAAGGCCTTTAAAGTCCCCTTCCAACCCAACCCAGTCTGTGATTGTCACCTGCACCAGGCCCTGCCAGGAGCTCTGGGTATCTTTAGGTGGCTGCAGCTTGCTTTCGCAGGTGCTGCTGTGCAGTCTAGCGCAGGGGCGTTGCAGAGCTCTGGGGCTCTGCAGAGACACTCCTGTGTGTCCAGACATTGACAGTGCTGCTGCTCTGTGGCACAGCATGTGGGCCTGCCCTGCTACCTCTTCATCCTTGCAACTTGCTGCTGACAGAAGTATGTTCCAAAAATAAAATAACAGGTTGCTTCTCCAAAGTCTTGTTCCCAGGCAGCCTAGCCCCTTTGGGAGTAGCTTGAGAAGAGAGAACCAAAATCTACTGGGTATCAACAGCCAATGCTCTGCAGGGAGCTCATTCTAAGTCTTTCTGTGCCCATCTAAGTGTTTCTGTAAAAGTTAAATACTGTGAAAACCCAGCCTTAATGTGTTATGTGTCTTGAGGCCTGGTCTTATAGCAGGAGCTGTGGGCTGAGCGGTCAGTTGTATGTGTGGTGGTTTGACCTTGGCTAAATGCCAGGTACCCACCAAGTCACTCTATCACTTCCCCACCCCTTCCTCCTTTTTTCTCAACAGGGCAAAGAGGGGAAAGAAAATAAGATATGTAAAAGACCCTAACCCTTGTGGGTAAAACAAAAGCAGTTTTAATATAAGCAAAGCAAAGGTCTGTGCGTGGAAGCAAAAAAAAAAAAAACAAAAAACCAAAAACCAGATTTATTCTCTACTTCCAATGAGGAAGTGATGTGGGGCCTTCTCAGGAGCAGGGCTCCAATATGCAGAGTGGTTGCCTCGGAGGACCAAGGGTGACGCCCCCTTCCCCCTTTCTCCCAGCTTTATACTGAGCAGATGTCACACGGTCTGGAATATCCCTTTGGTCAGTTGGGGTCAGATGTCCTGGCTGTGTCCGCTCCCAAGATCTTGATCACCCCATCCCACTGGGGCAAATGTTGGGAAGAGCCTTGGTGCTGTGTGAGCACCACTTGGCAGTAGCCACCACACCAGGCTGCTGCCAACACTCTGCCAGCTCCCAGCATAAACCACAGCACCATGGGGGCTGCTGTAGGGGAAAAAACAGTTCCAGCTCAGCCAGACCCAGTACAGTATGTGACGCTGTTTCCTCGTATTGTTGTAAACATCCTGCTGTCCTCTTCTCTGGAGCCTTTCCTGCAGGTTCTCTTCCCCAAACGGCATCAGGACAGCCTGTCCCTGAAATGAGTGCTGTACCTCATTCTCTTCTGTGCCACATGGGAGGCTGTAATTTTTTTGTCCGGGCTGCTTTCCTGTAGTCCCTCAACTAGATATTCCATGCTTATTTAACCATGGGTAAGCCAAATCACAGAATTGCCTAGGTTGGAACAGACCTTGAAGATCATCCAGTCCTTCTCACAAGCCTTGCTCATACAGACGCACTGTGACATTCAGACTCTATCTGATGAAGTTGCAGTACGGATGTTTAAGCCGCAGCAATGTCACTTCTAGTTGCAAGCCATTTCTAGTTGCAGGAAGCTGATGAAGAAAAAATGGGTTAGTGCTTAACCCAAGTGCCTTCCTGTTGCATGGAGAGACGAAGGCTGCAGTCACTTTGCTGCTTTCTCTGTGCACGTGCTGCTGGCAAGGAGCAGAGATTTCACTGACCTGGTTTATGGCCATTGGTCATCCCCACCTTAGCCTGTGGAGTAGATACAGGAGAGCTGCATTATTAGCGCAAATTAGGGACTTCTAGACATTTAAATGAAAGCAAGATTAATTCCACCTTAACCTTTAACATAAGAGTAGTTGACTGAGCTGAACTTTTAATTGGTTTGTTGTTTTTAAGTTTGTGGTTTGAGTTTTGTTTTTTTATTTTTTTCCCCAGGACATCCAATCAGAACCAACATGAGGAACAAATCGTGGCTCCAGAGTATTTCCTTCTTCCTTTTATTCCAGTACAGTAAGTTCCCAAATATCTCTTCTGGGCTGCACGCCCACAGGATTTAACTTGGTGACCATTGACACAGGCTCTGCTGAGATGTGGGTGGCAGGAGGCTGCCATGGGACAGCAAGCACAAGATCGGACACCAGGGGAGCAAGTTCCGTGGGATACTGAGTTATGGAAGAGTCTCTGTGGGCAGTGGAGGATGGACCCAAGAGGGTCACAGTGGAGCAGGGCTCAGCCAGGCTGCACACTGTGCAGGGGGAGTGCCTGCCCTGCATTGGAACATCTCCTGTTGATACTGGAGGATTTCCCACCCCCCCAAAAAAAGCACCTTTGCCATAGGAAAGGTTCCAGTGGCCAAGACCGGGATATCCCCAGGGCTTAGGGCTGCTGTTGGCAGGCCAGGGACAGTGGAGTGACCCGGCCTGAGCCCTCGTGCAGTCACACACATCATCCACCCCCGCCCCCCGCTGGCGCTGGCTCAGAGCCGCCTTCCTGCACAGACGAAGGCAGCGACATCAGCGTCTGCAGGGAACAGGGGCAAGCTTAGCATCTGACGTGCTGCTTCTAGGCAGAGCATTGGACCTGCTCCAAACCTAAATTAGCAGAAAAAATCAATTCAGTTATGTCTTCCTGCTGTACAGGACCACTGTGATGTCTGCCTGAATTTTGTGTAACACGAGCCAGGGAATTACCTGGGTTCAGTCTAGACCAAACTAGATCTTACTGTAAAAAAGATTTGGGCTTTGTTTCTGAAGTTGCCACAGGTGGACAATTCATCCTAGATCTAACTGGGTTTAGGACACTTAATTATTCCCTTCCAGTAAAAAGCTGTACTCCTCTTAATTTTGTTAACAGATTCTTGCTCAGAGATACGCTTGCAGCTTACCAGCTACCAGTACCATTTGACTGATTAACATAACAGCATAGAAGAATGCTGATTAGCAGTGCTTATTAATACTTGCTGACCTCTGTAAAGGAAAGCGAGGGGTTTATAGCTGCGTTTTTGTAGGAGTGTAAGTTTAGGCTAAGGGAGAAAAAGTACGTTGTTCAGGATGCTGGAACAAACAGTGCTTGTACCAGGGCCTTCAGAAGAGCCTACTGAGGGCTCAAAATGAAAAGTTAAAGCTTATTGAAAATTTTAGAACAAAATTATGAAGTCAGTGTAAAGTGAAAAAGTCAAAATGAAACAAAGTGACAACCACATAATTTGAATCACAGTTTAATAAAGCATATGTACACCCTTGGGGCCAGTCTGTCACAAGCATCCCCAAATTTCTTCTGTCACCATCCTGACATTCTTCGCAGGGGGTCTCATACACAAATCTGAGTGCTGCTCAGAGCTCACATAGGAAGAGCAGCATGCAACAGGGCTAGGAAGAAACTTTTGTGATGAGTGAAGCTGGTGGGAAAAGTTGGACTTTGTTTTCCTTTGAATGTACTCTGACCCAGTATTGGGCTGCACCTCCCCTGCACATGTCCGCTGTGCATTGTGACTGTAGATGCAGAGACACTTGTTTGTGAGAACTCTCGTTTGATCTGGAGGGTGGAACAAATATTTCTGGTCCACCAATGCACACGTTGCCTGCATTCCATGTTGACTGTTCTTTGCATACAGCATCCTCTTTAACTGTAAAATCAGGCATTGTGGTTACTGAGCTGATCACGTAGGCCTACTTTCATCTTATGCAAACAGCTCTTCTGAAGACAAAGCATGTTCAACCAAGGGAAGGTAGGGAGCAGGGAGTGCACCTTCTCTAACCAGGCAAGCAGCAGAATGGCAAAGGGAGGGGGACTCCTGTCCTGGTTAGCATCAGAGGATCTGGGTGCCTGATGTCTGTCAGGTAACGTGTTCCCATCCTGCTGGGGCAGCCCTGATGGCAGGGGGATGTAACAGCCTTGATCTTCCCCTAGATGATGGCAATTTTATTCCCATCAAAAGGGGTGATAATGTACATGTAAGAGATGAATGATCACTGTGGTGGCCATGGTTTGCACTGGCATGGCACGCTCTACCTCCTGCAGGCTTTTCCTCACTCAGTTATTCCTGGTGTAGTAACGGTGGCTCTCGTGAGCCCAAGGTGCTCTCAGGAGAGTGCTCCCCAATGCAGGTGCTTCTCACTGTGCTGCCATCTCCCCTGCCTTGAGATCCAGAGGGATAACTGAAGTGTGCTCGCGTAGAACAGCGGTGCTTTTCCTACAGCATGTGTCAGATACTGATATGAGAGCAGAGCTCCTGCAGAACAATTAGAAGAGTGTAAATGCTGCTTAGTGACCACTCTCAAATTAGCTAATTTTCTTAATGACCAGTGTAAGTTCTACAGTTGGCTCTCAGGTTCTCTTTAGAAGTCTGTTTCAGTTCAAGTGATTAATAAATTGTGCCTATCACTTTAGTACCAGAATGATTTATAGAAATTATAGTAACTACAAATTTGCAATATTTTTTTTGCCAAAATTCCATTAAAAGCATATTCTGAGCATCTGGAGCTGAACATGAAAAATGTTGATGCTGCAGATATGAAAATAGTAAGCAGAGAGAAGGGTAAAGAGAGAATTACTGAAATGTCAGTTTTTAAAAATGTGTAAAGTGCCATGTAGATGTGATGTAATGAGAACTAGACTAGCAAAGAACAGTACTCAATTTAGGAAGTGGTATTGTTAAAATGTTTGAATATGCTACTGTTTCCAGCTGGGTAATGATGCCTCTTTTATGTGCTACATAAGATGGGACTCTTGCAGAAATAATCTGTGACTCTGCTGTAGTAACTGTATAAAAGCAAACAGAGATAGATTCGAAAATTCAGTCATAATTTGGGTATTTCCTGCTATTTTGGCATGCTATTTGCTGCCACAGCTTTTTTTTAATAGGTTTTTGTTTGACACGTACCTTGCTGTAGAGATGGAACACATCTTATGCTCCAAGACTGAGGAGTTTCGGGGGGGCTGGCACAGAGTGGCCTGTTCCTTCAGATTTGGAGGGAGCCCTGAGGACTGTCTGTGTGGGTATAAAAATTATGTTTTCTCTTCCAAACCTACAGGTACATGTTGTGAAAACCTCACTTGTTTTGTGGACTATGTACAGACCCTGTCCTGTATCCTGAGACATGATTTGGGTGCCAGGTCATACAACCTCACTGCAACATGGTACGTCCCAGCCGGTTGCGCACGGCGTGTCAGCAGAGCTCCAGACGTGGCCACAGCACCGTGGTGTCCTTCTGCCCTCTTTGTTAGGCGCATTCTTGTTCTTGCTGCCACTCTGGTTTTTACTGGTACTTCGTACTCGTTACCAGCTGGCTTCTCCCCCAGCAAAGCATCCCTGGTTCCTGTGTGTGCAGACAGTGCTGCTGCCCGCTGCCTGCCACACTGACTCTGGCCTCCTTGGCGTCATTTTCTGTCCTCGCCCTCTCTGCTGTTAACCGTGGACTTTCACTCGTGTGTGCTGGCAGGCTTCACGCAGCTCGTACAAGCCCCGTATGGTGCTGTTTGGCACCAGCAAGGAAGTGAGTGCAGCCCTGGGCCGTGCAGCCCTGGTGAGAACCTTTCATTTCCACAAACACTTCAGCATCACTTTCCCACTTCTCTCAAAGATGCTAAGCTGAGCAAATAGAAGGGAAAAAAATAATCTGTCGAAGTTCAAAGATAAATTTCTGTTTGGACATGTTGCCTCTTTTCTTATTAATCTCTATGTCTGGTGGTTCAGCAACAGATTAGTCCAGCTACAGCATGTGGTGGATGTGGACTTGCTTGTCTGTTTTTTGATGGTTTTAGGGTTCCTGAGGAAGAACCAGAAAATACTGTGGCTGCCTGCAGACTCCTGCGATTGTCCGGGAACAGCAGTCACACACAGTACGTGTGCACTGTGGACATGACTGGACTCCTGGCAGATACCAAAGTCCAGGTGGATGTTACAGAGGTGGCTGATGGGCAGCACGTGATTTCCAAAGGCTTTTATATGGCAGAGAACAGTAAGTACAAAAATGGTGGATTTCATAAATCCTGTCTGACCTTATGTCTATCTGCTAGGGCAGTCTGGGCAAGGAGTGAGCGTGGAAGCTGAGGGGGCTCTGTTTGGCGTGCACTTGTCTGCACAGAGCACTGTGCTCTTCTTGCTGCTATTGCAAACTACAGAAACATTTATGCTTGAGGATGGTTAGAGTTCACTTGGCCCCAGTCTTTTCATGGGGAAATTCCTTTTTCCCATGTAGTAGGAGGTGATAAATTTCCACCTTAGACTAGTCTCATACCTACCCTATGCAAGTGTTTGTTCTCGGTTAGAATTGAAAGGGCAGGAGGAATTGCTTTAATTGCAAATGCCACAGATGGCCTCACAGGAGTCTCCAGAGGCTCTGGCAGTGAACCCTGAACCAACATGACATTATTATGGGTGGCACAAGGTGTCCCAGACACAGTAGAGGCGGCACTTCTGCTTTCTGGGGCAGTTCCTCACCATCTCTCCTGCTGACAGGAAGACCAGGTGCAATCATGTAGCTGACTCAGTGGAGTGCTGTTGTGTTCCAAGTTGTGCAGCACACTGAAGAAAAGGGGTGGTTAGCCAGGTACCGTCCTGGTGTATGAGAAAGGATATTTCTACTTGGATTCTTCAGATGTTACATGAGAACTGTCATCTTTTTGACAAATGCCACAGCATTTCAGGACCGCCCTTTGCCCCCCCCCCAACAGACTACATATAGGGTGGTGGTGCTTTGCATGTCTCCTGGATGTCCCCGTACAGAAGCATCACAGAGCAGTGCTGGAGTCTGTGCATGTTTTCCATATCTGAAAACACCCTGCAGGGCACATGAAACTTGCCTTTTAGGCACTTACAGCACGGGGATCTGCACTGGGTTTAGGCAGTGTCCACTACACTCAACTTTTCCTGATGCCCCTGTTGCATTGAAGGGTATTTCCCTAATTGTGTAAGCGACCATGACTATGCAGAGTCCTCCTACATCCTGAGAAGAACAAGGTGCCTGACTCTTTACATCTTCCAGGAGATATTAGCCCTTTGTGCTATCCTCTCCTGCTCCTTAGTTGACAAGGAGGTTCAGAGACAGGCAGAGGCACATTCAGGGCAATGGGGGCCTGACTTCACTACACTGCAGAGGTGTGAGGTTCTGTGCATGGCTCAGGACTGCTCAACCTGAGAGACAGAAATGTTGTGGATGTTGCCCTGTGTAGGAGGGCCCACCCTTGCCAGGGCAGTTTTGCTCCCTACTCACTCTGCATTGCTGATACCATGCTGGGCCACCTCCTGTCTGCAGTAATGTTATGAAGGTTAACACCATCCTGTCTTCCAGTCAAACCACAGCCTCCGTTCAATCTGACCGCTGTGTTCTCGGAGGGTTACAATATTTCTTGGAAAACCATCTACCAGGACTCTTCTTTCTACTTTTTGAATGAGGAGCTGGAATACCAGCTGCATTATAAGAGAAGGACCGACACCTGGGAGGTAAGTGAGATCTCAGTTTACCATCAAGTAGGATGTATCAGCAAAGAGGAGGCCAGCACAACCAGGACAGGAGTGCTGCTGTGGAAGAGGGGTTGTTATGGTTTAGAAAAGGTGCCTCTATTTGCTTGCTTGAACTGAAAACAGGCAAAACTGAAAAAATAGAGAAGCAGAAGCTGTTTGAGAAGTACTAGATCCTGTGGGGAAGGCTGATAGTTCACGTGCTTCTCATGCTGTCCTGCATGGAAGGATCCCCCAGGGCCCCGTGCAGCTGCTAACCAGCCAGAGCGTGGCCCTGCAGACACAACATGAAAGCAGAGGAGATTACTTTGCAGGGCTCCTCACTGTGGAGCAGAGAGGGTAAGGTGGGAGCAGTCACTCCAGCCCTGAATGTTTGGTGTTTCATGGCTCACAGACTCGGAAGATGAAAGCTGTTCACGAAGATAAACGGACACTGCTGATCCTGCCATGGGAACTCCAGGCAAACACTGAGTACGAGTTTCAAGTGAGAGCCAGACCCCGAGAAGACACTGGCTACTGTGGGTTTTGGAGTGAGTGGAGTTCTTCGCTGACGTTGAAAACCAGCCCTGCCGGTACACACTACCAGCTCTCCTTGCTGTTCCAGTTGATCCAGAGTCAAATCTGATTAATTAGAACAAATTCAAAATAGTCCAGTAACAACAGGCATGTTTGTCTTGCTGAGTAAGGAACCCTGGGCCTGGGCTGATACACGCTGTCTGTATGGACCCCCCTGCGCTGCAAAGCCCGTTACAGCACGGCCTGTGGCAGGAGGGTTTGGTGGCGTTGGCTGTGGGTTTGGGTGCCACAGCAGCAGTGCAGCCTCAGCTTCCTTCCAGTGCCCAGGGTCCTGCCTGCCCCTTTCAGAAATGTGGGAGATTGAGTAGAGGTGCCTCCACTCCTGGGACTTAGTATTGCCTTCACCTGAGGGGAGGGAGGATCCTGCTCTCGGGGCTATGGTCTGTGTCTGGACTCTGATGTTTGGTCGTGCTGGCCACAGGTGTTCCATTTGGTAGCCACCGCTCCCACTCCACAGGGAGTGCACAGTACCTTATGCACAGAAGTACGCTGGTGCTTGTCATGGTGGAACAGAGGCTGTGAAATCAGGGAGTCTTTGTGCAAAGAGCAGGGCAGGGTGACAGTGGTCAATGTCAGCAGCATGTGCTGAACCTCCCTGCTCTCGCTGATCTGCGGCTCAGACCGAAGTATGATGTGGTGCTGTAGCAGCAGGGCCAGGCCCCAGCTGCTAGGGGTTATCTGAGTTCTGGGTCTCCAGGGTTCTCCTTTCCCTTGCAGGCAGAGAGCAGCCAACAAGCATTCATCTAGTCAACACACTTTTTTTCACTTGTCACTAGCCAGCTGCCCTCTCTTTTCACTTCATGGATTATCTGTTGATGTGTCCCTAAACCAGGAGTCGGAAACACCAGGGCTCTTTGTAGCAGGGACCTGTCCTGCCCCAAACACGTTGGCTGTCAGCCTGCAGCACAGCCAGGCCATAGGCCAGCTGATGCACAGCTCCTCTCATTGATGCACTCTCCTCTGAGCATCCTCAGTCAGAGCTCGTATCTGGAGTGCCGAGCCCCAGGTGACGGCCTCAGTGTCCCTAAGAGAAAGTCTGGGGCAGAAATTGAGGGGGTGTCCTCACCATCTCCTGCTTATTGACCAGGGTAGAAATGCAATATGAGCCTGAATGACTCTGTCTCCTTTCTCCAGCAGTGACACAGACAGCAGGCATGGGATGGCTGCTGCTGTTTGGTGTTGTCGTGGCAATCACTGCCTCAATTACAACCTTCCTGGCCAAACAGCGGAGGTAAGAATGTTTCAGAGGATGGTGTAAACGCTCCTATTCTGCCTTGCTAAATATGGGGTGTTCACATGCAGTCTTCTCTGTGTCTTGTATATCCGTGCACAGCGCAGCTGCGGGGCTGTGAGGGCCCGCAGAGCGTCCCCAGCTGTGCACAGCCACGAGCACTGCTCTCTGGGGCTCTGCTGCCCTTCGTCTGCTTGGGACAGACAGCAGCACGGGGGGACTGTGCGGGGCCACCCTGCCCCAGGGCTGCTCTCTCAGTCCTCCTGTGCTCACAGCTGGGATGGGAGCCATAGCTGGGGCTGGCCGGCCCCTTTCCAAAGCTGGCACAGGCTCCTCAGCACTGGCTGGGGGCCTCCCTCCTTTCTGGAGGGGTGGGGTGGGCACTGGCACGGGACAGGCCGGTGGGCACTGGCACGGGACAGGCCGCTGGGCTGGCACAGCCACCGGGCCATGGGAGCAGCACACGGGGCAGAGCTCTGAGCCAGCCCAGCCTGAGGGGAGCGTGCATTTCCCACACTTGGTGTTTTTCCAGGAAGGAAACGACTGGAGCCTCTTTCCTTGGCAGGAATATTGTGTGCGCAGGTCCGGACGGTCACTGAGGCCCCACCTCCATGAACTTGTGAGGCCAGTGAGGCTGGGCAGGTGCTTTCAGCTGCTTGAACTGGATCTGGAGATGCCTTGCTTTGCATCTGTAATGTGCATGTAAACACAAAGACTTTCTCTTTTCTTTTCCAGCTTGTGGAAGAAGATGGCTTGCATCCCAGACCCTGCTCCCTTTTTCAAACCTCTTTACCTGGTTCACAATGGAGATTTCAAGGTACATAAATAGGTTACACAAGCAAGTGGAGCACATGACAAAGTTAAACTAAAAGGCACATCATGCTGTCCTGGGCAAGAAGTTTTCATTAGGGCAGTGGGAGGGGGGATTTATCTCAAGGGAATGCCAAATGGCTCCACATATAAGGACCAGCGCTCGCCAGTGTCTGTTCCATGCATGAAGGCCTTTGTCACGTCCATGCTGCTTATTCCCTGTAGGTGCTGTCTCAGTGGGTGAGCTGAGCTGTGATCTGTGAAGCCTGGAAATCTGAAGGGAGTGGACAAAGGGATACCAGGACAGTAACTGGGGTTTTTCCAAAGCTCCAGTCCCATGCTGCCATCAAGGCCACGGAGCAGACTTCATTGTAGAGCCAGATCTCCCAGTCCAGCCTCTGCAGTGACACAAGCTCAACATTAAGCCTCGCAGTCCTCTTTTCAGAGTCACTCATACAGGCAATAGCTATGCATATCATCCTGGAAAGGTGGCTAGAGCCCTGGGGACAGATAACTGCTGCCTCCCTGTGAAGGAAGTGTCTTTGAGTAACTTTGCCCAGCCCTCCAAAATTCTCTTCTCTTTTAACACCAGCCAAACTCGCTCATGTGACAAAATGGTTTGTGAAGGCTGCAGGGTTTGCTGGAGTTCTTAGGGTATAAAAGTAAAAGAATATTGAACATGCATAAATAACGGTTGTATTAAGCCGGAGGGCAACTCACAATGTTGTTATCAAACTGTAAAAGCACTGGCATGTGAGTGCAGACATCACTGCCTCTTTCTGAACAGGTTCCTGCTGTTACAGCAGCACTCATCAGAGACACATCAGTGTCTGCTTTTTGTTTCTGCTTTTTTCTTAGACCCTCTGGGAGAGGGACACCAGCTGGGCCCTTATGATCTTCCTGTACTTTCCCACTGCTGCAGGGTTGGTGTTTGTGATTAGGTTAAGCAAGGGGTCTTGGATGGGTGTCGTTCAGGCTGTCTCCCTTCCTTCCTGCCTTCCTCTTTCAGCCCTGCTGTGGCTTCCTGTGTCTGCACCAGCGGGGGACTTGCGTCCTCTTGTGTGGCACTGGCTGCTCTCGGGGAAAGTAGCCAGGACCAGGTGGACTCAGTGTGGGAACTCCTGAGATTCATGGGCTGGTGCTCACAGTGGAAGTGTTGAGCGCCCTGCATGCCGAGCACCACGCTCCTCTCGGGGTGAATCCGTGGGGTTCTCTGTTCTGTGGGAATTACATTCTTGCTAGTTTCTAGTTAGGCTGTTCAGTGCTGCTGGGAGGGGAATGAGCCTCAGTTGCTACACCTGAGTTACTTCGTGCAGATTGAAGCAGCAGTTGCCCACACAGCCCCAGCACGGGGATGCGGTGACATCACTAATATGGGAACAGACACGTCATTTTCAGCTGACAAGAAACCAATTGATGTGGGGCTCATTCAACTGCATCCTGCCTGCATCAAAGCAACAGGTTCAGTTATGTCCTGGATTGGGTAGGAAGCAGTAAAACCTTTAGAGGAAAAGTTAAGGCATAAAAAGAGAAGGGAAAGCAGAGGAACGTTGTTTACTCTTGTGTTTACGTGGGTCCTTAGATTCATGTTGGGTGAGAATTTGCAAAGAACTGTCAGAAGGAAATAAGAAATACTATGCCCGTTCAGTTCTAAGAAAGGGATTTCCTGCTGTTTCTTCAAATAGCTTTTTTAACCTTAGGTGCCTTTCTGTCCATTACAGCTTTAGTAATAAGATCTTTGTTGCTTAGGTTAAAAAGAAATTAAAATAGACATGGTGCTTCCTACTGTAATGAAGATTTTTCCATGCTCTGTGTCAGAGGGTAATAAGCTGTACCAGGATGTTTTTTTCCCCAAGTGCTTTGCTCATGTCTAGATATGCTGAGTGCCATTTGGGGCAGGAGGCTGGTACGATTAAGGCAGTCTGACAGCTGTGGCAATGCCCAGCTCTCACGCTGCACTGTCAGAAGCCTTCACAGTGTTTATGAAGCTCAGTGTTGTTGCCTACTTCATACGCAGCAGAACGTGGTGCACATAGAAGAGCCTTGACGCAGCTCAGCGATTAGGCAAGTGTTGGGACAGGGAGCAGAGCCAGGTCTTGAGCCTGTGTTGTGCCCAGCCTCTGGACTGCAGAATCCTTTGGTAGGACTTACCTGCATTCCTTAGTGGCACGTGCCAAAAGTTCGCCGAGATCTGAGTGTCTGATTCAGTGACTTCTCCAAAAAGAACAGAAACTTTTTTACTTTGTTCTTAGATCAGAGAAACCCAGAGGTGCTTTTACTCCCAGCTGTAACTGAATGCAAGGGGACTGTGATCTAGAGATAATGCATGGCACAGGGCAGAAGTGATACAGGGGGGCAGGATTCAATGTGTGGCCCTGATGGTCGTGAGTGAGCACTACCTGCAGCAGGCAGGTCCCCGTCCCCTGCCTACCACTGCCTCCTTCTTGTCACTGTGGGAGAAACGGTTGGTCTGGGGCATGGCTGCACAACAGAAGATCAGGAGTAACCTTCCCCTGACCCCCTTCCCAGGGAACTGAGGCGAGGGAAGTGCAGGGCTATGTGTGTGCTGGGTGCAGGTGCAGCACGCGGGGAGAACCTGACTGTCCTCTCAAAGCAGTGCCCAGGACAGGAGGGCAGGGGAGACAGGCTGGGCTGGGTGGGACCTCTGGCTGATGCACAGAGGAATGCTGCTGTGGGCAGTGGAGTTCCCTGCAGCATAGAGAAAACTGAAAAGCCATGAAAACCTCTCAAAGCTAATTGTTTTCAATTACCTGAGTCGATTCTCTGGCAGCTGCCTGAGCCTGGTAATAACAGCATCTCATACCCTGCTATTTATGATGAGTCAGTGATTTTAGAGTTTGACTTTGCCTCTAAAAGCTTAAGAACTTTGGTCATTTCTGTGGAACTCTAACCTGATGATCCTGACCTTTCTCTCCCTGTATGTCCTTTTATGCAGAAGTGGGTTGGTGCATCCCATACAAAAATGACCCTTGATTTCTTTGAATGGGGAATAGTCCTTCCAGAAGTCCTAGAAGTTTACACCATGCATCCTTCCAACAGCACCTCACGGGAGGAGCTGTATGAGCTGAGAAAAGATCTGCCTTGCAAGCCCTGCGTGTCTTGCGTGACTGCCCCAGGCCAGGACAGCCAGTCCCTACTGTCTAGTGTGAACAGCAACAGTGGGGCTCAGGACCAGTCATACGGGCACTTGTCCATCGATACCGTGACTGTGGCTGATGAATTTACACCTTGTAACTGCCAGTGCAACTGCAACCGTGTCTACAGGGGTCATGGGCATGCCAGCAAGGAAGACAGCAGTGCTGGAGAAACTGGTTACCCCAAGGTTAACATCGATGATGAAGATGGAAAGATATCCAGTGATTTGGACCCGGCTGACCTGAGCACACAGGACAAAATACTTGCTTCAGGGTCTGTGTCCACAGACCACCTGAGGAGTACGAGTGTCCCAGCCCGCCAGCAAGTAGAAAGGGCTTTGGAAGGAGGGATGGGGAGCATCCTAGAAGCCCTTTGCTTGCAGCCTAATCAGTGGGATTTGGAAAATCCAGGCTCTCTGCCTTCTCCTGATGGTGAAAGTGTTTCCTACAGTGAAGGCTCCTGTGACTTCTTCCCTCAGACTGCAAGACCTGGTGATAGCTACCCTATGATCTGCGTAGATTTGGACACTATTGACAGTGGCTTTGTGGACTTGGACTGTGGGAGTCCCGTTGACTGTGAATTTGAGCAAAACAGTCAGACCAACTGTGAGCCCATCCCTCTTGAGCAGGAGGGGGAGGACTTTCCACGGAGCTACGTCAAGCAGTGGGTCTCCTGTCGCGCTGACAGCCCTGTCGCTGGGGGACAGACAAACTAGGAACTTGATGTTGCCTTGCGCAGTGTAGGGCCTTTTCCATACTGTGCCAGGAGTGTTAACAAAATTCAGAAAAGAAAGTTTACTTTGTGCAAGCACTGAAAACTGTTAGGTCCATAGAAATATATGCCTATTTCTATTGCCACTTATTCTGTTAATGTCTCAAATGTGATGTGATTGACTACTTTTTTTTTTTTTTTAAGAGTCCTAGGTCAAACCCCCTTATAAGGCAGGAAAAGCAACTGTACCTTGAAAATTACCCTTTAGCTTATGTAGATGTGCAAATTTTTTTGACAGTAGCCTTATAAAGAGTACAACACTTTTAAATTATTTTCCCTGGTACTCTCACAGGACTTGAGAGTTTGGATGTACATGGAATCTTAGAAGCATAACCCATGGCAAGCGTGTTTGTTACATTAAAGTTCCCCTATTCCCAAACAACACAAGTGGTGTTACTTTTCCTACTAATATCTTTGATTCTTTAAACCCAGCTGAAATAGTTTGTTAATTATGGAGGGTCCCAGCCCTGTCCATGGGGTATGATCAAAAATAATTCTCCTATAATGATCACAGAACTGTGTGTCCAAGAGACCAAACACAGCTCAGATTTCAGAAAGACTTTGCCTTTCCAGGTGGAGTCTGCAAATGAGAAGTCTTCAAAACACCTACAATTCCAGGCAAAATCTTGCTACCAGGCTTTTCTACTGAATCAGCATCTCTCTCAGCATTTTCCAAGCACATTAACTGAAACATTGATCAGCTTTTAGAATTATACAGAAATTTCAGAAATGTCCTACCTGGATGTGCTTGCAACTCCATCTTCTGCCCTGGACCTGGTCTACTGCAGTTAACAGGTCAGTAGCACAAAGTTTGAGCAATTTCTTCTAGCTAATAAAGCCAGCCATGAAACTGGTATTTGCATTGTAACTGTGAATATGTTTTGCTCTGACATCCCTGTTTCTCTGGTTTGTTCACCTTAATTGTCTTAAAAAGTTACTGTAATACTGATATTGAATGTGAAGACCTACATATTATGTAGGCACAGTGCTACTAACCTGTGGGCTGCCTGGCTCCAGGAGATCTTATACTGAGAGAACCTTTGTGTTGAATGAAGCATGTTTCCAGTGCAGTAATAATCTGCTGTTGCTGTGATACCAATAAACTGTTCCCTCTCCCCTGTCCTGGCCAAGACTTTAGCCAGCCCCACAGCTCCCTAAACAAGAGGGAATGCATCAATGAAGAGAAGCTGTTTCTTTCACAGGTGAGTGCCAGGAGGGTTTTTCTGTGCATCCACATCCCTCGTTGGATTGTTCAGACAGCCGTGGTCTCTGCTAAGTTGATTTTGAACCTAGAGGCCTTAGCTTTGCCCACGTTGTTGTTACTCCCTCCATACACCCCTAGCTCAGGGGCTTCCTGGGCGCTGCTCCAATATACCAACACTTTTTGGTTCCTTCCCTCCTTATTTTCTTTTTTTCTTGACACCTTTTGTGAGAAGCCATAGAAGGTCTTAGCGTGCTTATGCATCCTCCCTGTGTGCTGCAAGTGCCCCACACACCCTCCACGAGGCAGCAGTGGGTCGAGCCAACTCTGCTCGCCTGGTGATGCGCTGAGCCTGCCCTGTGCGGGCACTTGCACCCTGCCTCTGCCACGTGTGCTGCTGGGCTGTAACATCCTGCAGCTTCCTCTCGCAGCTGTTTGCCCTTCAGAAACTACTGTATGGTAACAGCGCCAGGCTGCCTCAGGGAGGAGGGGAAGCTTGCTGATCTCCTAGGGCCCTTTTACATCTCGGTTCTGCGTGCTCCGTGTTTCATGTTGGCATCGCTGGCCCCGGAGCTGACGGAGGAGCTGTTTCTGTTACTGCCACACTATCCAGCTGCACGTCTGGTAGAAGGTGGTGGTTTGGTGCTATGTTGGGTGAGAAGTCGCCTCTGGTCACTCTAGGAGGCAGACTTCATGGGTAGAGAAGAGTCACTTTGGTATGTGGCATAAGGATGTTACAATAAGGGAGACTGTTCCCTTTGAAGCAAGCTGTAACAATTAAGTTTTTGGCCAATGAGTTGTTGACACTGTGGATGTGAAGGGGTTTGAGGTGGGGTTTTTTCTGTGGCTCTTAGCAACAAACTGCAAATGCCCCTTGCCTAGAAATAGCTAATTTGGAAAAACTGTTTCCCTGGGAATGCTAGGGTCATTGGTAGGACTGCAAGTCCACATTTTGTTGGCTTCTGGGAGGCCTCCCCTGTTCTCAAACAAGCTGTCTCTAAAACGCCTCACTCCACCCTTCCGTGACCTCAGTAACCTGCAGTGGCAGATTCCTGGACAGCAATGTGAAGCACAGGAAAGAGTTATGATAATAGTGTGATAAAGGCATTTGGCATTGAAGTGCTCAGCCAAGCAGGTCTGCTTAAAAGAACAGAGTTTGCAAGAGGCTGCCAAAGCCCTTCAGTGCAGGGGAATGTGCTCAGCCGCTCCTGCCGTGCTCAGGTAACCAGGTGATGTAACTTTAGCCTGCCTTGTGAAGGTGGGGTCAGTCACACTGCGCAGTGGGATGCGGCAGCGAGATGTCAGACAAAGCCCTTGGATGGCTGAGCTCTGCTGTACCTTGCACAGTATTCACAACAGTCAGGGATGTGATAGTGGACTTAAGATGCTGCACTGACCAGAACAGTGTCCTCCTACTGGGGTACTTGATGAGCAGAGGGAAGGAGGGAAGTCAGATCTCCCAGATTTGTGAAAGACAGCATGATCAGGATGCAGAGATGGTCCTGGGTTACACTGACCATCTGCTCGGACAGGCTAACAGTGTGTTCACTGCCAAGCATAGGCAGGTAGACACAGAAATCCCAGTCTGTATGAGTCTATCTCAGGCTCAAAAACATGCGTTATTGTACGAACCAAGGACTGCAGCACAGACAGCAAGTGCTGCGTGTTCGAGCAGCTTCCACTATAATGTGAAGCTTCTCCTGTTTACTGTTTGTCTCTGTGATCCAAACCCAAAGGAGATAGCAAAACATACACGCTTGTTCCTGAGTTGACAGTAGACAAACAGTGGGTGTCTCTCCAAATGGACTACTACAAACAAATTCAAGGTAGATGTAACTTAAAACAAATCACCTGGTGAGAAAAAATATTCATCTGACGGAAGGTGATTGTGGGACAGTGGGATAGGTGTAAATGGGTCCTGGAAAACATGAAAGAAGGGTCTGCATGACCCTTAGAGAGCAGGAGTTCAGTTAACAGTCTTTGGGCTGCGTGGCACGTGGGGTATGGGGAGAGTATGAAAAAAGGCAACTTGAAGATAGCTGTGATGTTCTTGTCAGAAATACTGCTCTGTATTTTGGAATAGTAATATGAAAAGGAACTGGGAAAGGAGGTTTGTACTTTGCTGTTTGAGCCAAACTGCTGCCGAACTCTTGTACTGATTTTTCTGCCTGCCCTGTAGGCAGAATGTGGTAAAAGCTGTGTGTCTTACACAGCGGTAGCATTTTTATGGTGACCTGCTGTAGTAGGCTGGAAAGTGCAGGGATAAGGTTTGTCTCTACAGGAGACAGGGATGTTTTCTGCTGCAGCAGGTGAACGACAGGCATCTGGACAGTTCTGAAGCAGCAGGTGTTACTTGTTTAAATGATGCTCTGAAGGTTGCTGGCATTTTAGGGGCCTTCTCTTTCTGCTCCTGTTCAGGATTGTCCTAACTGTGAAAAGTGTAATATATGTTCAGGTGGGTAACCAAGGGGTCTTATGGGAGTCGGCAGAAGTCTTACCGGGGGGGCCCAGAGCAGGTATTGCCTCCTCTCCGCGCCCTTCCCTGGAAGCCTTCTCACATCCAGGCAGGGCTAGGAAATGGCCCAGGTCACTTAAAGCTCTTCTGTTACAAGGATGTTCTTTTATATTCAGGAAATTACTTGGCCTTTTAAATGTTAACCCTTCAACAGAAATTCCTCAGTTTCTCCATCACTAATGAGTAATTGCAGATGCAGCTACTTTAACTCTATCTGATAATCTGAGCAGCTTTTCATTGGTTCTTGAGATTATCTTTAAAATCGGGCACAGTAAGCTCTGCTTTATTATGCCACTGCTGCTACTGCCTGATCATCAAACCACACAGCCTAAACTATCAAGGGACAGAAGCAGTACGAAAAGTGAAGTTTCCTTTGAGCTGGTAAGACCGTTTAACATATTTCTGTGATATGCATGCCAGTAAATAACGATAGGATACATCTACTGAGCTAAAATATTGAAAAATATTTGCTTTGCCTAAATGTGGAATTCTATATTGTTTCTTGTACTAGGAACCTAGAACAATAAAATCACCAGAAGGGTCTTTGCACTTTTGTTCTGCTAATTTGCTGAGCACAAAACCACACTACTGCATTAATTTTGATATGGATTGTGCTAGAAAGGTGCACCATCTTGGATGGATTATTTTTAGGTACTCCTCTCTAACTGAATGTGAATGTAAATCTAGCCAAAATAACCCTCAGCATTTGGGACTTAGCAAACAAAAATATGGGGTTTTTTAATGTGTGTGTGTGTGTGTGTATATATATATATATATGTATATACATACATATGTGTGTGTATGAATATTGCTTTATTGCAGTAGTCATCCTTTATAGCAGCTTTTTTTCAGCCTCTGGGATCCAGGTCTGTCTAATCTAAAAGCACATAGCTTCCTGAACATCAAATTGTGGGAAAAAGGCACTTCAGAGATGAAGGGAGAAGACGACTGTTTATATGGGGTTGTCCCTGATAATCTGTGCAGATGAGGAAATCTACTACTTCGGTTTTATTCTCCAGCAGTTTGCACGCTGATCATGTGAGTCTACTATGTGCACTTGACGTGCTCCTGTCAAACACGTGCTTAGAGGCCTCGGTATTCAGGAGGTAGATAATGTATCATTAATTTTTATTAAAGGACCTGCAAAATATTTTCTTGTAGGCAGGGATGATTGAGGGACTGCCCACGATAAACAATCACACTTAGTAGTACAATGGATCACTCTGGAGAATGTACACCTGGGGTACCCCTAATGGATGGGGGATGTGCACCTTGGTACAGACACACTATTGCCCATCACTGGTATACTTCATGGGGTGGGTCAGTGTCCTGCCTTTAGTACCTGTTGGTGCTGCCTCTGGAAGAGGTTCAAGCAAAGGAAGGGATTACAGTCAAGGGAGAGCAGGTCATTTACGACTAATTGCTAAATTGTAAGGAATGGAAACAGAGCGTTCAAGGGTCCAGGTCTCTGTTCCTGCTCCACTGTGCACCATGTGTGTCTTGCAGAGCATGTTTTGGAACGTGCTTCTGACTTCCTCTAAGATTTAGGTGAGCCTGGCAGACCATACATGAGCTGCAACAAGAAAAAATTCACTGACAAAATAATCTACTGTATATAAAATTTGATGGCAGAGGTGGGATAGAACCTCAGAGTCCTGGCTGT